ATTTTTGAAATATCTTAAATTATCTGCATTTATAATTATTAAGACATAAAGAGCGCTTTTTTTATGACTCAAAGATTCAGGAATAATTTCTTGTCAGTTTAAGAGTCTGGATGCAAAACAGGAGGAAACTTATAAAAGAGTGTTGCATTAACTTGTGAAACAAATCCTGCATCCTTTGAATAACCATACAAAACATGTTTTACTTGATGCAAAAGGTTATTAGTTGTTCCAAAAAGATTATTCGGACAGTTGTGCTGTTTTTTTAACTGCTCTGATACGTTTCTAGCTTGCGCAAACCACATTAAAGCCTTCAGAGTCATGACTCATGATGTACCAAAAGGAAATATCTGCACCGCCGAGAGGATCAACGGTTTCTTTTCTTGTCAACTGAAACAAAAAAGAAATGACCTCCGATGTTTTGAGTTAAAGATGCACAAACATCTGAGAGGAAAGAAAGTTATTTCTTTTCCAGAGAAGTCAGATATTGCCCGCTTACACTGTGATCTGAAAGTTCGGGTTTCACCGCCAAGAAAGGTACTTTTTCTGCCGCGGTGTCACACGGTTCCGGTCCCCGATGAAGGGATTGTCCATGGGGAAGTCTGGAATAGTTCCTGTAACATAATGACACATAATCAACGTCTCTGCTCCGTTTCCTCAAATCAGTGCGATCATATGAGTGCAAGTGAATCTATTTCGGTCGCTAAAAAAGTCATGATGGATGGTGAAATCCCGACAATCGAAACCAAAATTGAACGGAAAAGAAGAACATTTATAGTAAGAAGTTAAATGAGCTTTTAAAAATATTTATTCAACATTAAAATTTCCTCCAGAGTTATACATGTTGGATCGTAAAAATCAGCCATGTAGGTTTTAACATAAGAGGACTTTGTGTTTCTGTGTTTTAGGAAAACTCTAAAATAACTATAAGCAACTTTTAAAAAATGCTGTTTCCTTTTTTTCTGAGTTGCATCTGTTGTGAGTTTTTTTTTTTAATAAAATTTTCTATCCTATGCTTTAGATTTTGGTGTATATTTAACATTAAATAGTTATTTTATTTGTATTTTATCTGATGGTTGATTTGGGGTTGCTTTATTTATTTACATTTAAAAACAACTTTGAGTCTGTTTGTAGTTATTCTGAGTATAGTGTGATTTGCGGTTTTCAGTTTGGATGATTTTGCTGATTTTTTAATCTTACATCTGTGCTGATTCACAGTCTCTAAAATAGTGCTCTGCTGGTTTGCACCTGTAAACTTAGCTCATAGGTGTCACCTCAGACTCAAAAGATATTTAAATCTGTTTGCCACAAAGTTCAGATTACTTTTGACTTTTCCACTGAGCCGCCTGGGAGTTTTCAAAAGTGAAATGTCATTCAGTGGTGTTGGGGCACCACTGGCTTTGCAGTCTACATGTGTGCCCCATATAAGGAGGGTACAATCCACACATGAACCACACCAGTTTCAGGTCAACCTACAGCTCTTTTTCCACCCTCCCAGTTTCCTGCTCTTCCCACAGTTCACTTTTGAAAACAGGTATTGAAAAAGTGCTTTGACATGAAAAAAGTAATACAAATTAAAGCAAAGCAGAAACCTTCAATGGAGTATTAGGGCCACATTAAGAAATAAAAAAAATAAGTAAAGTAAATGAAGTCTTAAAGCTGCTTTTGTGGAGGAGGAAACGGCTGAACTGGTCAACTGCAGAGTTATCAGTAGCTGCGTTTCCATTACATTTTTTCGCAAAATAAAAGCGATGTTTATCCGATTTCGACAAAGTACAATTGCGATTTGCGGGTGTTTCCATTGAATGGTGTTCAGTGCATAAGCGAGCCGTCTGCCTCTCGCGAGCCGTGTTTAAATGGCCGTTGCCTAGCAACGAGGTAAACTTCCTGCCCGTGCGACCTCGTATTCCTTAAGCCTTTTTGCACACCAACATGGACGAGACACAAAACATTTTGCGTTTTGGAGCAGCTATTTCTGTGACCATTACTGCTGTTGCCGCTGCTGTCATCAGAAGACGAAGGCAGCGGCTGATAATTCAAAGGCAAAGCTCGTATGTATGGGAGCGGACACGGATGAGCGATTTCTGGGAGAGGATCGTTAATGAGGAATTCACAGACGAATTGTGGATTCAAAACTTCAGAAAAATACAAATACAATTCAAAACTTCAGAAATAACTCTGTCTCCTCCCCCGTCCACATATACCGTGCCATCTACGCTCGAAATGAACTGGTCACTTGACCCGCTACGTCACGTCCGGTGACAAAGAATTGCGAGAAAAGTGTTTCCATTACACTTTTGCGATATACTTCTATATCGACACTTCTGAAAAACCACCTCATGAGAGCGTAAAAACTTTTTAGCGATATTTGGGAGGTTTTTCGAAATGTAGGTGTTTCCATTACCAGTTTTCTATTGCGATATTTACGTTTTGCGCAAATCTATGGGTAATGGAAACGCAGCTATTGAGTGCATCAGTGGGCCATTCAGAGGGTTTTTGTGGTTTCTCAAGAAACAATCCAACCGATGATCAACATTTGCATTTCAGAGAGAGTCGAGCTCCAACAAGCACCGCGTCTGTTTCTGATGCTGGCAAAACACTGGCAGCAACCTACACCTGCAGAAGCACCAACACCTTATCGCATATAGATTCATACGATGAACTAAAGCCATATGCTATTGCTATAAACGGCTGCATTGAGGGTTTTCCAGCCATTTCCCCGTCCTCGAAAACAGCGATTCCCTACAAGTCCGCCTGGTTCTTTCTGCGAAAAAGACGCATTTCTTGCATATGTCCTGATACTTCTGACGATGTGATGCTGAAACGCCAAAGGATTTATCCTGTTTGTGAAACCTAGCTACTGAAGTTCAATTCATCTAAATGCTCCACAGCGCACATTTAAACAACTAACAACAGGTTAGAATATCTATTAGCAACGACTTTATTCTCGTAAGTAATGATTTTATTATGACATTATTCTGGCAAGTAATTACGAAGTCTTAAATTCTTTTTTTCTTAATGTGGCCCTAACACTCCATCGTAGGAACCCAATAGTAAATAAAAGTTAATATAAAAAATGCTTTATGGTGCAAGCGAAATAGATAAAAATTTCAAAGTTTTCCAAATATTGTACCAAAAAAAGTTTTAGCTCTTCGCCGTCAAATTCAACATGTTTTCTGAGGCATTGTTCTATTTAGATTTACAAAGCAGTGAATGTTGATGATACATTCATGCTAGAATCTCAACAAGCAGTCAAAAAAAACCTCCTAAATACAGAACTGACTAAAGTTCAGGACTGAAGAAGAAAATTGTTCTGTCAAAAAATCTGTATCTTTGCAGATGTTTGTCATTGGCCCCGCCCCCTCTTTTACTGAATACTAATTTGCCCTCACACTTGTCAATCAATCACAACAGACGTGTTGCATTTTTTCATCTGGTCTTTGTTTCTTTTAACTTGTTTTTGCTAATTTCTTTGTTTTAAATCTTAAAAATGACACACTTATTAATACATGTAGAAAAATAAATAAATTAAACTGTGTGGTTATTTTCTATCACAGCAGCAGGAAGACAATGCAGCTGGAGTGACAATAAAGACAAGATAACATGTCATAAAAAGTATTTTAGATCCTGATTAATGATTTTCCGAAGTCAAATGTTTTCAAAAAATAGTCTGAAACATATTTTTGAAATACCTTTTTTTTTTTTTGAACACCTATGACCCAATAAATAAAAGTTTGTAAATGATAAACAGTAGAGACAAAAATACAAACTATTTTAACAGCATGGCTTTTTAAAGTTCACATGTTGGCGTTTTTAACTTTAGCATTATGGTGCAAGGAAGATACGTTTCCACAAATATCACAAGTATAACATTAAGTTTCCAGATATTCCCAACACAAAAGTCAGTTTTTGTCTTTAATTTCAAATAAATCTGAGTGTTTTAGAACGATGGTTGACACGCAATAACTCAGAAACCTCTTTGATTTCTTGAAAAAGCAAATTTCTTTCTTTTTGACTTAATTGAAATCGAGCCTCATTTAAGTGTCATGTTTGATATAAATTTGCATATAATTCAAATAACATCGTAAGAAGTTGTGCTTCAGTATCAGGAGATAAACTGGAAGGGTGGTGGGGGGATTATCGCCTCTTCTTCCGAGAGAAGGGTGGTCCCATCAACATGCCACTGACAGGAAACGCTCACCACAAACCAACGACTTCTTCTATCCAGAAGACACACACACACACACACACACACACACACACACACACACACACACACACACACACACACACACACACAGAGGCGAGCAGTCACCTTATATTCACTATATGATCACAGCAGCCTTCAATCATCATCAAGCTGTGAGTGACGGGGAAATAGACTCAGCACCGCGAATGTGAAAAAATAAACTCAGCATCACAAATATATGCAAGTTTATGTGTCACCCAGTGTGTGTGTGTGTGTGTGTGTGTGATTTCCCTTCACCTCTGGCAGGGACTTCCCCTCTGTTTTTTCTCTGCAGAGGGGACTCTGTCCTCGCGTCCCGTCAAAGATCACAGCTCTCACCCTCAGAGCTGGAAATTTCTCTGATCATCTGCTCTGTTTTTAACTCTCTTCTCATTCATACCTTTGATCTTTGACTTAATTTTCGATTGTCAATAAAGCCCTGAAACCAAACCTTTCGATTTCATTTGTTACACAATATTAATGACTTCACTGGCGTTCATGTTTATCTCGTCATACGTGGAAAAACAGACTCATGTACGATACTTTCCTTTCTGTAAATGACTCAGAGAACAAGACCTTGAAAGGGAAATTTCTGGTGTTTTTTTTTTTTTTTTCTAACTAAAATCAAATTTTAACTTGTCCTGGGATCCAAATTACACTCAGCTAAAATGATTTTGGCAGAGCTCCAGCAGAGTCTTTTCAGCCCGCAGCAGAAACAGGTGAACTGCAAATTTGCTGAACACGCTCATATTTCGTTGATTGGTAAACTAACCAGCTCAGTTTGACGCAAATGAAGGGGAAGGTGAGCTAACATTAGCAGAGCTAGCACCACCAGACTTTAATTCTTATTGCTGGTCAATGCTCTTGGGTTGAGTTAACCGCATGGCGATTTAAAATACGATTTTATCTCCATTTTCTCGCTCAAAATGCTGATAAATGCACACAGTCCATGTTTTATTTGCAGTTATTGTACAATCAGGTATTTGGCTTGGCTTGTTGAAGTGCATATGCAACAAATTTAGACAGGTCGAAGAGGAAACACAGTAAATGATCATTATCAAGCCCTAAAACAGACTTTTTTAAGATTATTTAGGGCTTCGGGGATTAAAAGCAAGAGGTTTTAGAAAATCAAACCATACTGGCTGAAACTGGGATCTTGGATTTGCTGAATTGTGACGCTATTTCTGATAAATGTCACAGACCATTCTGAGTATCGAACCCTCCAGTTATTGTCCTGCACCCGTGATTCTTTTGGTTTGCAGCCTGAGGTGAAAGTTGTGTCCCTCGCCGCAGAGACTGAAGCATCCTCATCCCCGCTGATCCTCGAACGCGTCATGATGCAGCCCGTTGAACCGTCAGCTCTCGGGGTGGAGAGGACACTACAGAAAAAAGTCAACGGGTTGTTCTCACCATTTTAGAAGAACACACAGAGAGGCTTTACAGACTGAGTGACATTTTGATTCGGCTAATTTTAGCTCTGAAGGGGCTGCTGAAAAACTCTGTGCTGCTACTATGTCACATGGATTTTTATTTTGTGAAAGATGTGCTTCATAAAGATCTAGTTTTGGTTTAGGTTTAAAGATAATACAGAGGAAAGATTTATCTAAGCCTTTAAAAATAATGATATCTACATAATGAGTGTCCACCCTGTCTGGGGAAGTCAGATTCTTTTAAAAGGGACTCCACCAGCCCCGTAATATTTCCCCTCGCAGTCCCAGTGGACTTTAGATTTGTGTGAGTGTATGTGTCAGAAAATCATGAGTAAATGTGTGTAAAGAGGGACAGGTGTGTGTGTGTTACTGTTGTTGGAAATCCCCTCCTGAGTCCCGTCAGCTGTCGTAGATCAACTGTTTCTGCCTGGAGCCAAAAAGTCAATGTTTCCTTTTTGTATCACAACAAAATTTTACAGAGTCAAGAAAAGAGATCTGAAAAAAAGAAAAAGAAAAAATCTGTTTTGCTTTTTCACAAGATCCTAAAAATCTCTTGCAAGAGCCCAGACAACTCGTGCAAGATCCTTGGTCCTCTTTATGAGGGGACAAAAGAAATATCTCTGGATCCCAAGAAAAAACTGATTCTCACAAGATCCAAAAAAACTCTTGGAAGATCCCAAGAAACTCTTGATGTAATAGACCCAACAATTTTTCCCAAGATCAGGTAGAATACTTGATCTTTTAACTGATAATCAAAAACTTGAACAAGATTCCCACCTACAAATGTTTTGCAAGATCCTAGGAAATTCTTGCAAGAGACTGCAGAACCTACATGTTTGAGAAACCATGTGTTTTTGTAAAATCAAAAAAAATTATTCATGATCCTAAAAAACTTTTAGAGGATTAAAAACAAACAAACAAACAAAAAAACTTCTGCAAGATTCCAGAAAACTCTTGCTAACAACATTTGTGATAACTATTAAAATCTGGCAAGATCCTTAAAAGTTTTACATGATCCTAGGAAATTCTTGCAAGAGACTCTAGAATCTGCTGTTTTTGAGAAACTTTGTGTTTTTGTAAAATCAAAAAAATTGAGTCATGATCCTAAAAAACTTTCAGGGGATCAGAAATTCAAAAATAAATAAAAAACTTCTGCACTATTCCAGGAAACTCTTGATATCAACATTTATGATAATGTGGCAAGATCCTTAGAAGTTTTACGAAACCCTGAGTAATTCTTGCAAGATCCCAGGAAGTGCTCCCACCTGCATGGCCCTCTTTGTAAAAGACCATTACTTGAGAAGTCTTAATAAAATACTTTTTGATTCTTGGGTTAGGGTTTGATCTCCAAGAAACCTTTGAAAAAATCTTTTGTATGCAAGAGGAACTAAAGTAAGATCCTGAGAAACTTTTTCCAGATACTAAAAAACTCCCAAAAAACTTTCTGAAGATTCAGGAAAACTTTTGCAAGATGTTGAGAAAAAGTTGTGAGGGGGGCTGAAAGCCCGTTGAGAGATCTGGGGATCTCTTGGGGAAAAGGCTAAAGAAACTCCCAAGACACTTTTGCAAGATCCTTTAAAAACTATCGCAAGAACATTGAAAACTCTTTTATTTATACAATTTATATGAAATCAAGTAAACTGGCAAGATGCTGAAACTTAAATGCAACAATATCCCAGAGACGATTTTGTAGATCTGAAGAAACTGTGTCGCACAATATTGTTCCTTTAAAGAAGATGTTTGCTGACCTCCAGATTAAAAGATCTTTTCGGTTTAACTCTGCTTTGATAAATCTGTGAGCATTTCAGTTGGTTAAAATTGGATCGTTAAAGCTCTCACAGGTCAAATGTTACAGATCAGATATTTCATGTCATACTTGGAGGGCTGAGCTGCTGCTAAATTTGTGTTTCCAGCATTTTCTGTCTGAGCTGAGGTTTTGGTTTTCTTGCTCGCTGTGTGCGCTGAGTTTTCAGTGGTTTGGGTGTTGATTCCTCTTCTCTCTGCGGAGGTAATGATGTGATTGGACCGGCTGATTGCTAACACCTGCTGTAAGCTATAAATGCACAATTAGCGCTGTGCCATTTACTAATTATGATCGGATAAGACCTGAAACATCCCTACGAGTGCATATTTCCAATCTACGAAGAATGAGAAAGAGAAACAAAGAAAAGGCGCTGTGGACAAAAGGCACACAACTCTGTATCCTTGACAAACACGTAAACACAGAAAGTATGAGACATCAAAGCTGGAGGGGATGTGTGGGACATATTTACTGACTTTACAGGACTGACAACAGACTATCTCACCGCCTTCGTGCAGCTATCAGCCAGGTGTGGGCAGGTGATGGTGTCAACTTGATTTGCATTTCTTTCCTGAGCTCTCAGTGACATCTGTTTTTTCATTCTTTTGACTTTTTGTAAATTAAAAAAAAAAGGAAACCAATTAAGAGTTTTTGGAAAGAGTGTTTTTGACCACATACTTCTTTATCCTGCTAAATTTGGTCAGTGAGAGCGGCGAATTTTCTCCATATCTCATAATCTTGCTTCAAAAACAGCTGAAACGCTGTACAAATGCACTGTTTTCATTTGCGACTGAATTTTCCTCTAAGTTTTGGTTGCACTTGCGGCGATCTGTGAAGGTTCATATCGAACACGAATCTCCGAGCCCGGCAGAGGTCAGACGGTGGGAGTTTTAAGGACACGCCTTGTCAAAGTGTTGAATCTGTAAAGAGTCGTCTCATCGTTATTGAATCCTCCACCCTCCCACCACCTCCCTGGGGTTACATATTACACAGTATTTTGTTGGATGCTGCTCCTCCTCCCCGTGTACTTAACCTTGAGTCTCACCTGTGTGTTTTCTAGATAACAGCCGGAGAAATCCCTTCTTCACAGCCGGATGCTGCGGGCTTCGCTCGCTCGCTCTGCGGATGTGTACGGAGGAGGTAAGGGACTCATGGGAAGTCTTCTCCCTGGAAATGAAGCTTCGTCCACCTTTGTGTGTCAGCTCTGCCTCCTCTCCCCAGCTGCTTTCACACCCACGTCGTCCTCCACCCGCGTCCTTCCCCATCTCGCTGCTCTTTTCCTCCTCCTCCTCCTCTTCTCTCTCTCTCTCTCTCTCTCCATCCTCCTCCTCCCTTCCTCTCTGCTTCACATCAAAGAGGATGAACACATGAACACAGTTGTCTTTTAGATGTGGTGCAAAATTTAGCAGAGCACAGAGAGTTGGAGTTATGGAGGGTTGTAGCTTCAAACCTCTTTTCGATTTTCAGATTACATAACGTTACATAATGTTATCTGTATAAAAGAACATTTAGGAGGCGCTTCGACCTGCATGACACTCTGACAAAACTTTCATTTCAGCTCCCCTGATATTTCACCACTGAAAACAGCTCAGCGCACATCATCCATTTGAGGATACACACAATAAGAAGATATAAAACTGATGCAAAATGGAGCATCTTAGTTACCTTTTAGGTTGAAACCCGGGATGTAAAAGTTTAGGAATGAATGAATGTATGGAAAGAGGAGGATAGAGCTGCACAAAGCTGAGACATGAAAATGTTTTTCATGTTTACAGTCTTTTAAGAAACAGTTTTGGTTTCTGAGGCTCATTTTTCTGCTTCATTTTTTAACAAGAAGTTTGTCTTCAGGCCTGGAGGCTACAGATTCAGGACCACACTGCAGGTATCACGAATTTGAGACCCTTATTAGCACAATATCACGTTCACTGGAGCACCAAGAACCATCATTTTAGAGGCTGTTTGCATGGTCACATACTGCATTTCTTTCTCAGCTGTCTTCTCTGTGTTTTGTCACACAGAGCCATCATGACAAACTGATAAGATAACTGTATTATTAAAGACACGACAGAGATGTGTACCTGTGTACATACTTGCTAATTCACATTTACTCATTACACATTATTCTCAGGGTTCCTACACAGTTGGAATTTCCATATTTTTCCATACCCTACTTTATAGGATTATGTTTGGAATTACCTACTTTTCGTTTGTAGAAAACAGTATTTTAGAGCAGTGGTAATAAAAAACATAAATATTTTTCCATGCTTTATTGTTCATTTTCCATACTTTTTAAGACCTGGAAATTGATCAAATTTATTTCCATACTTGCGTAGGAACCCTGTATTCTACTACAGTTATACACAGGGATATCACATCTGTACGACACTTAAATCATAGTGTTGAGAGTAAATGGGGGAAACAGAAGCGTAGATGATTATAAACTATGTGCACACATACCCTATGTCTGTGCCACCCAGTCAAAAGTCTTGGTATGGTTAGGGTTAGCAGTGCAGAGAAACACTGAAGTTTGCTCAATAAAAGAACATGAGAACATGCATCTATTTTTATAAGAATGAGATGAAACATAACCGAACTTGAACTTCTGCACCAGAAAGACAGTAAAAAGGTGAGTACTATACCGGCGAGAGGACCAAAATATGCATGTATGAGTTCACAGCTAAGCCACAGCACTGATCAGTGTATCTTTACGACTTGATCAGGATGAAATTTAGAGACTGGAGTATCAGTGATGGAGCGGGCTTTTCGTGGAAACAAACATTTGAAAACACGTGTCTGTCCTCAGTCTGTGTATTATCCATCCATTCAATTATTCCATTCAATCTAGTAAAACTAAAAATGAAAAAAACGAGTCAATATTTTGCTTGTTTGTTTTTCTATATAACCAAAAAATAAAAGATTAGTGTTTGTTTTCGTATTTTCAGTTCAAAACAGAATATATAATAGAGACGGAAACAAAAACAAAATAATAAATCTACTTTTCGTTTCCAGGTTATTGATGTCCCCATTTCCCATGGTGCCTTTCAACTGTTTGCACATGTGCATTGCGCAACAAAGTAGCCAACAACGCGGACAAAAAACTCCAGGCCAGAGCGGTAGAGAAAGGCTAACCTGCTGTCATGGAGATGGACGCATCCAATGTATTATTCAAAGCTGCCAGGAGGGTCACGCTGAAGGAGGAACTGACTGTAGAAAAAATTACAACCAGAGCTCTGTTACAACGCAAGATTTGGCGCTCCAACCGCTCTGTTGCATCTTTCGCCATGGTAACTGTTGCTGGGGATCATTGGAAGGTAAATTAGATTTATTATTTCATTTTCTTCTCTATTATATATTCTGTTTTGAACTGAAAATACAAAAACAAACACTCATCTTTTCTTTTTTGGCTATACAAAAAAAACAAATAAACAAAATATTGACTCGTGTTTTCATTTTTCGTTTGCGAGATTGAATGGAATAATTGAATGGACGGATAATACATGGACCCTCCTCTTTTTAAATCAATTAAATCTTACAGTAAAATGATAAGATAGCCTCATAACCCAACATGTCTACACATTGGTGCTCTAAATCATGATATTCTCCATCCTCTTTTTTTCTGACTATAGCAGGCTAACCATGAGCTGGCGATTCAAAGACCCATTTCCGTGCAAAATACGAGGAATAAATACTATCCTGATGAGTGACGTCAGGGTGGCTACATCCATCATCCAGATTTTTCTCTTTCCTGTGTGCTATCAGTTGTGTTTAGAAAAAGACAGGAAACATGCAAACGGAGAAAAGAGAGAGTCCCTGCGTCAGTTATCTCCCCTTGTTTGCTCCATTTCCCATTATTTCCCTCTAACTGTATGGCGCCATCCTTTTCTGATAATAATACCCGACATTTTAGAGCAAATAATTCTTCCTATAAGTTTTCACAATCAGAACAGGATTGTTTGAAACCTGAATATCAGTACACCAATTCACCTGAAGAGCTCTGCGCCGCTTCTCTTAACAGGAAATCATAATGAAAATTGAAGGTTTTAGAGCCAGAAAAGAAAGAAAAGGATGGAAAAATGTGAAGAGACTGTTTGGTTTCCAAGCAACAGTAAACGCCGGGTGCAGCGAGCGAGAGCTGCAGGGTGGGTTCCTGAGTTCCCATGTTCCTGCCTTCTTGTCTCCACATTCTCTTCCTGAGGAATTTGACCCCCCTGACCTCTCTGAATATGTCTGGATCTACCCTCCCCTCCGACACTCAATCACAGAGCACTGTAATCGAAAGCCTTTATGAGTGTAAATCTCTCCCTCCTCTTTTTTTTTTTATTTTGCAGAGGTAGCCTTGAACACAAAGCCATGAGTTCTGTATCCAACATGAAGGTTGATTTAAAGCCTCTTTTGATCCAATTTAGTTTTATTCCTGCTGTGAGCTGGCCTTGTTTGCCTCATGTAAAGGTGTGTAACTTCCTGTAAGGGGGGAGGTTCAAACGAGGACCCTGGTGCAACAAAGCGCTCTAAAGCCGAGCCTTCAATAGAGATCAGAGGGTCAGAAAAGAGGAGTTGGCATTGTTGAGACTCAGCACACATGAAAACAGACAGAAAATGTCTCTGTGTGCTACAGAATATCAGAGAAATAGATTTAAAGGAGAGGAATGAAGCACAGAAATCTGTCTGAATAATTTTATGCTAATATCGAGGCTTGTTCTCACAGCTTGGACATGCAAATGATTGTGCACGGATCACATTTAGCAGCACACAAATCATCAAATACACAGCTGAGATGTTCTCACACTATTTTTACTCGTCCAGTACTGAACTGGACACGTGGATTCGTAGAATAAACACTTCAGTTGAGGGACTTAAAAATTAAACCAGTAAAGTGGACCTTTATGGATGTGACTGATATTAGTTTAGCATTGCCTGGCTCAAGGTAAAGAAATGACGCAACTCTCTCTGTTATTATCGGGTCTGTCATGATTAAATCAGTGCTAAAACGTTTGCCATTTTGTCAGCAACTTCAGAAGCAACTGTGTGTTTAGATATAAAAAAAAAGAAAAACTAAATCTCCACTCACATACGTCACTGACATTTCTTGGTTCTATTATCCCTGAGGATCACCTGTTTGCCTGTTTCTGGTGAGTCTGAGTTTCACTGTAATTAGTAAATTGGACAAGATTTACACATAAACTCACTCTGTTTTTATTCTGAGTCGCGTTCATTATTGTCCTCTTCAATTACAATATCCTTCTGTTAAAATTTTAAAGGTTTGTCAGTCAGGCGTTGGAGCAATAATTGACATCACAGTGAAAATAATCATCATTTCCTATCCGAGACTTTATTGTTCCAATTTCCTCAAAGTAAATAATTGTGTTTTTCATTTGAAATAGATGAATTATATATCCGTTTTGATCTAATAAGACGTTCTTTAGAGGGATTCCTTTTGAGTACAGGCTCTATAATGTGCACATGTGGAAAAGTCTATTTATCTGAAGGGTTTCAGTTTCACTGTAAACAGGAAGTTAAATCAAACTTGTAATTTTGCCTCGCTATGTTTTCGCCTTGAGTCCAAGAAAAGATTCAGCCATGCTCCCTATTCACTTGTTTGTGATGGGGTCTCAGTTTCACTGTAAATACTAAGTTACACTGAGGCTTACTGAACATCTGTTTGTGGTCAAGCTCAGTTTTACTGTAAATATTAATGTACTGAGAAACTTAACTCTGACTTATCATTTGTGGTGAGTCTCAGTTTTATTGTAACTAGAAAGTTACAAAAAAGGTTCACTCTGACTTTCTGTTCAGTGTCTGATGTGCAGTCTCAGTTTCACTGTAGATAGCAAGGCACAGAGAAGGTTTACTCTTGCTATCTTTTCATTTGTTTGTCTGTTAAGGGCTCACTGTGAGTCTGTTTTGGTGGATCTTAGTTTCAATGTAAACATAAAGTAGAGAAGCCTTCCTTTGGCTTAATGTTCATATGTTTGTGATCAGTTGCAAAGTCAAACACAGACTACACTCCAATTTTGCAGTATAAACCTGAAAAATAAAGATTTCCTTGTGATTTATGGCTCTTACATTTTGTGAAATAACAACATCAGGATGCAGATTAGTAAAAGGCCAAAGTCAAGTTTTGTCAGGTCTATCCTCAAGAGGAGAAGAAAACCACTTTTCCTCAAAAAACACAGTTTGTTGAAAGGAAGTCAGATCCATTGTTTCTGATGCGTTCAGAGGAGTCAGGAAATCTAAACTCTGATTGTCTTTAGTGACTCAGCATGAAAAAGATTAGAGTTTCAGTGTAAATGCTTGATCTAGAACAGTTAGATACAGATACCTGCATATGGAGAGAAATAAATCTTTGTCAGATTACTAGATATTCTGGTGGATTGTTCCTCCTGCTTTTGCTCTCCATACAGACTGTTTATTTCCTGCAGATGCCAAAGCCTGACACCTGATAACTCAAACTACAAACAGAAACCAGCACAAATCCAAGCCTCCCAGTACAGACTCTATATTTGCATTCTCACATTACCACTCTTTGGGTTTTCTGTCTGTAATATAACAAAGTATGAAACTGCACAGAGAGGGACACTGCAGACATTTCTTGCAGTTGTATCTGTGAGTGTGAGAGCGTTTGTCAGAAAGAGGAGATATTGTGAGTTTCCTTGCTCATGCCTGCAGTGGACTGAAACATGGAGGTGTGTGGAGGATGATCAGACAGAAGGCCATCTGAGAGCACGGTACACACTCCATCTGGACGCATATTCACTGTGAAAAAGAGTGTGAAACAAGAAGAAAGAAACACACACCAAGAAAGAAGGTGATATTATAAATCTGAATTTTAAAAAGCAACCTGGAAAATATCTCTCACTTCTCCTTTAGACTTACTTTTTTAGTCAGCGGATTCATGGTTTACATAATACCGACCTGCATATATTACTAGCCTGTCCATCCACCACTCCTTTTGTTATTTAAGGCTTTATTAGACGTGACATTTTCACATTTTACTAAGAGAGAATGACAGAAGAAGGGAAGAGAAAACAAAACAAAACAAAAAAACACAATGGAGACTTCGCAATTAAGTCCCACCCACACCAGAGGGGGAAACATTTTGTGCTCTCCAACAACTTTGTACTGTGTGAAGATTTTCTCCTCGTCACTTTTGTCTGCGAGTAAACAACAGAAAAATCTCTGGGAGCTTGCTATAGCGTGAGAAACAGAGAACAGAGTCATCGGATAAGATTGTATAAGACTCCAAATAGAAAAAGTTACAAACGGACAAGTAAATACAGACAATCTGACAGGGGTAAGAATGGGAAAAACTGATAGACGGAGGGATCATAATGCTGAAATTGCTGATCCTGGGTCTGATCCTTGCTCTTGTTGAAATTTACCTGTGCATAGCAAAGTATCTTACTTTGCAAACATATTTTCCTCAGAGGTGCAGTTTTTCACTGGCTGAGGTCATTTTGCTCGTGTTTCAACTCTTGATGCCTCCCAGCAAAAACCTTCCATAGGTGCAAAAACTGCAGTTCCTTAAGTGTCCACTTGAGGCTGTCTTAAAACGCAAAAGAGGTCCCATTAAGCCTAATAACTCCTGACTACCAGTAGTTCAAATTTGTCCTCTTGAGGACCACTGTAAACCTCAATATCTCCCACCCACTGCATACTACTGAATTAACTCCCTTTGGTTTCTACCGAGGACATTTAGAGCTTTTCAATGATACCAAATGTAAAGGGGCGGGGCTTCAGTACCTTTCTCTTCCTCACTCAGAAAAAATGGCCGCCATCATTGTATGCACATTTTATGGGAAGAGGAAAGGACTGTAAACTGTACTATAAAAACATATTTACATCATTAGAGAACAGGACAAAGATTGTGGTTTAAGTCTTGAACCCTGGACTTGTTGCGTTAGTATCCACCGACTTTTCGTTGTTATTTTGTTTCTCCACTTTACAAATATAATTTAGCATCTACTGTTTGGTCCAGAGTTTGGCAAAACAAGAAGGTCAAGGCTGTTGTTAATGTCTATGTCTGTAACTATGGCAACAGAGCAGCCAACTGTTACCTGATTACCGATGCACAGCTTCTTAAAATTGCAACTACATGTCAAAATGCTGTGGATTTTAAGCCCTGTGATTGGTCTGCTTGGTTGCAGTCATTTCCAGTATCACTGCCGCTCCCTGCGCTCTTCCTCAGTCTGTTTCTTCCAGCATCTCCCCTCTTTTATTCTTTGCAGTAAACACAGCTTGATCAATTGCTACAACATTTATGAGCCCCAACTCTTCAGTGTTTCTGATACACAAACAAGGTGGGAATGGAACAAGACAGGAAACTGGCGATATGAAAAATATAGCCAACAAACTGCAGACAAGGTTTGCAGATCAACGTGGATACTCTTATGCAGAAGTACGTGGTGCTCACAAAAGCGTCGGGCACCATTATGTAGGTCTAAAGCACAAACATAAACCAGGCTTTACGTATAGGTAGTGCAACAGGTCACAGGTCCGCAGACAACTTCTAGTCATGAATGTCTGGGTTCATCACTCTGTATCTTACAAAAATATGTCTTGAAGAAAGAAAAGAAGTCTTACAGAGAAGATTTTTATGCATTCATTTTCAACCACATCAAAGCAAGCTTTGGCAAGAGAGACAGCTTTACCACAGTGGGTGATGTTGCTCATGGGAAATGCAGTCTTCACCTAAAAAAAAAAATGACAATGTCATCCAAAGAGGTCACAAGAACAAAATTCCTCACAGGGACTTTAAAAGGAGTCAGAATCAACTGACAGGCAATAAAAAGAGTCCCTCTAGATGAGTTTTTTAACCTCTTCGATAATCATCACAGATTTTCTTCGCACAGTTTGTGTTTTGAATACTAATCCTAAAGTTTACAAAGTCTTAAAAGGAGAATCCTGAGAAAATGAGGTCAGTAAATCTGCTTTGTAAGATATATTTTTCGTTTTTACGGCCCATGCAGGTATAAATCCTGTCCATGTTTGCAGTATCTGCTGTAACCACACCCACACTAAAATCTTATAACCCTAAATCCCGCACCTTCACACACACTTACACACACATCAGTGCAGAGGTGTTGAGAGGGTTGACCTGTGGCCTTCTAATCAGAGCTCAGTGTGCTTCACCATGTTATATAAGGGAGCAGCGAGTGCTAGTCAGATCCTCCTACAGATGCCTGAGCAGTCACGACTAACGCGGATGTTCTCCATCCATCCTCTCAGCCCGGCTAGTGCAGACTTCACCTTAGCCTCTGCTCCCGGTCCTACACACGCACACACACATACATATGCACGCACTTTAACACACGTGTGTTTTGGCAAAAAAGATTACCACTCACATCTACAGAGTGCATATGCTTCCCACAAGTATGTAAAACAAACCTGACGGATAAAATATTTATCAAATGGAGTTTGGGATGGAGGAGAAGTTCAGAGAAGAGGCAGAGCTAAAATCAGATCACACATCTCCGCCCAAATGATGGAGGACAAACACCTACAGAGCTAAATGTTTCTGCTTTGTGGTGAAACCATCCTCTCCTGCTCGTTCTACAAATCTCAGGGGTCTTTCTTTCTTTAAGAAGTGTTTTTCCGGTCTCAAGGAAAGGGTTATTCCACCACAGACCTGCAGCAGCCTCTGGGACCTGAGTACCTGCAGGCTCTTAGAAACCAGGAGCTGAGAATAGCAGAGCAGATCCTGCCCACCATGTGATGTTCTCATGCAGCGCTGTCTGCAGGGAGAGAGATGAACCCTGATGAATAAATATGAAGATAACCTGCACCTCTGCTGCACTCTTTCTCTTCCCATTCCCCATATGGTTCCACTGAAGAGAAGGAGAGGAGGAAAAAAAAGCTCGCATTTTCAAAAGAAGCCTCCGGGCCATTGTGTTCATCTGTGTGCTCGTGCATGTGTGTGTGTGTGTGTGTTTTATCGTGCATGTGTGTGTATCTAACCATCTCTTCTTTGTGTGCCACCATCTGAATGTGTGCATAAGCGTCAGTGTGTAGTTGTGTAGTTGTGTGTGTGTGTGTGGGCGGCTGTGTGTAGGAGTGTGCAGTAGCTTTTTGACAGAGCCTCCAGTAGCATGTATTTGTGAATCTTTTGTTTTATTCTCCGTCTCCTCTCCAGCTCGGCAGTAATCGCACCTCGACGAGCCGCTCAAGTGCTGCTGCCCTTGACTGAAGACGAACAAAAAGGTTCCTTTAAAGACTCATTTCCACGGGTCATCCTGCAGAAGCCTGCGGAGCCGAACGCTGACAGTAATGATGTACAGATTATATACATTCATCTCTTACAAAAACCCTCCTAATGATCAGGACAAAGCCGCCTCCTATATCAGTGCAGCAAACAAAACAAGCCTGGAAATCATCCACCGCAAACACCGAGACTGAACCTGTTGCACGCTGTATGTGAAACATGTAAATACTCTGACAGCGCGGCGGCTGGTGCACTTCCTGGGCACGGCTTGTGTTCTGGTGGAGTAGGAAAGATTGGTGGGTGGGGGAAGCATCCTGTCAGGGCTGCTCTGTTGCTCGTTTGACTATCAGTCTGTAGAGATGGAGGGAGAGGAGCAGAATAAAAGGGGTGCGGAGGGAAAATTTAGGCAGAGCTCAGAGTCGCTTCAAACATTCAGGCAAAATCTTGTTAAATTGATCAAATCTATTAGTTTAAATTTTTTTTCTCTCTCTCTCACAGCTCCTTTTTTTGGCTGCTGCACAGAATTTAAAAACATTCATACCAAAGCATTGGCGTTTGTGTTTACACCGCTCCAGGCACCAACTCTGTCCACATTTTATTCAGACCTGTCTTTTTAGAGCTTGTTGCAAGCTGGATGAACTTGAGTAAGTTAATTTAGAGAGTATTAGGACTGTTAATATAACTGATAAATATGTCAACATAGTAGAGAAATGATACCTGGTTTGTAGGGGTGTAATAATATCTTTATTTGATGATAAGCTTCAAATTTCCCACAGGAAGACCAGTGCCAGCATAAACCTACAGCTATAGGCGTCAACAGCTATCTTTTAAATAGATAAAAAAACAGATAAAAAAGCATCTTAAAGTGGTCGTATCTGAACAGATCTGGCTCTGATACTTTCAGAACTATAAAGGTTTCCATGCATGCAGTAACACCTCTGCAGCAAATAAGATTTCATGGCACATTTTGCATAAAGAACTAAAAACTGTAGATTGAAACTTGACAGGAGGAAACAGAATCAAACTTTTAGCATCTGAATTAAATATTTTAGATTGTGATGGAGCTCTACATCCAACTATAGGATGACTAAGCAAACAAAGAATCACGTCTGTTTCAGTGAGATCGCTGATTAACAGACGAAGCATTTAAGTCTGAAAGAAAAAGTCCTGTTGAGTAGATAAACATAAATATGCAGGTTTTTTTTTTAAGGATGACAAATTTAAGATTACATGTGAAACAGCCAAAGTAGGAAGGACTCGATTCTGGCAAAAATCATTATCGGAATTATCTACGTTCACACTGATCTGATCTCGTAATGATGACATAAAAGAGAGATTTTTACAAGACAGTACTGTTATTTGACAGCAATACACTGTAAAGAGGTTGACAATTAACCTGCATTTTTTAACAGCAATTTACTGTATATAGATAACAGTTCTCTACTATAAAAATTACAGTTAACAAAACAATATATGAGACACTACGGTATACTGTTTTGTTAACTGTTATTTTTATAGTAGAGAACTGTTACTATATACAGTAAATAACTATAAAAAATACAGTGACAATATATGAGACACTACAGTATACTGTCACTGTATGTTTTACAGTTATTTACTGTATATAAGTAACAGTTCTCTTCTATAAAAAATACAGTTAACAAAACATTATACCGTAGTGTCTCATACATCATAACTGTATTTTTTTACAGTGAAGTCCTGGCAACCACAGCTGTCTGTATTTTACAGTTTTTCTTTTTTACAGTGAATCTGATCTGATCTTGAGGCGACATAATCATGACTAAAATTGAAAGTCAGTTAGTCAACCGGGTCTAGTCTCTTAGGCTTCCAGGCTGGCGCTGGTGGGTCTGTACTATCAGAATCTGAGCAATATTCAAGCCCAAGACAAATTTCCAACAGGGAATAAAATCTTTTCACATTGTAAAAAAAAAAATGAATCCAAGCTCAAGAATTTGTCGAGCCAAAATCGTCATCCAAACCTGCTCTACTGTTTTTTACAGCACCTTTTTTCAGCATCATCTCCCTCCGTCTGCATCTCCTCAGACCCCAAAACTTAACAAATCCTCACAGCGGACATTACTCACCCCTCTCCGCTCCATCAGCTGACAGCAGCACACACCAGATACCTCCCCCCTTATTCTGCAGCTCACCCAGCCTTTGGTGTCCCCCCGTTGAGAGGATTATTAGGGATGTGGAGGTGGAGGGCGAGGTGACAGAGGCAGGTGAAATGAACTCAGGAGGCCTTTGGCTGAGAGCCAGAGGAAGGACTGTCAGGTGAAGTCCTGGTAATTGATGATATGCGGCTTTTCTGGTGATGTATCTCTCCTCTGCCGTCTAACGCGGCGCCGCTCGGCCTCGCCACCTACGCAGTCATAAGGCCGCTCTGCATTCAAGGCCTTGAGCTCACCAATCCAATGTTCTCCGCCTTTATCAGAGCGTGTTTCACAGCCTCTCAGAGGCGGCAGTTTTATTTTCTGTTAACATGTTTGTCAGAAAATCATATTTCTTTGACCTCTGAAGCTTTCTCTCCTGGTTCTGTACACTTCCTGTTTCAAGGCTGACTGCAGGCAAGCACATGCACATACATTAGACTGTGAATGACTGACTGTTGTTGTGCAGCGTCTTTTCTGTACGGCGGTGTGCAGATCTGATGCATTAAGCGCAGAAGCTGTGACTTCCTGGGAGTTTCAGCAGCACAAATGAGGCAGAAATATGCCTCCATTATTACACAACACATCATTGACTTCACATCTCGACATGGGGCGATGTATGTCTCTCTCTGATCTCTGCTGCGTTTACGAGCTCTCTTTCCTTACATTCGCTGCCATGCATACGCACACAAACACACACACACTCTCTCTCTCTCTGCAGTGATTAATTATGGGTCTACAGAATCTCCAAAACCACATAATAGAGACATGAAGGTGTGACGATGTAAACATGGAGACAGGTAATTACAAACTCTTTTAGTGAGTCTTTAAATGACTCATATCTCTTGTGGTTTCAGAGTGATACGTGTTTAAATCTCATAGATTGTAGAGTTTTCTGTTCTAATGGCAGAAAGAACTGAGGGAAACACATCTCAGTTAAGCTTATGTACGGTGGCCTTGAAGGAAAACTGCAAAAATGCTTCATGAACACAAAATACATGTGTTTAAATGTGACGATTATTACAGAGCAGGGTGAGGGATAGCTGAGATATAACGCTGATATCATTCTTTCTTTCAGATTGTTTGATATATTAACACTGACAAGTAGGACCTGTGATGAAATTTTATCATTTTTATCATTTTATCATGACTTACAAGGTCAGGTATTATAATGTGTTACAACTGTTAACAACTCACTGACAATGCCCTCATAGATAACGCAATGCAACTGTTGTTAACAGTTATAACATATTATAATACCTGACTTTGTAAGTCTGATGAAATGTAGTTATAACTATAAACTATAGCAAAGTTGAGTATGATTAAAAAATACATACAAAAGTGACTTTCGTTTTGCCACATTTATTATATTGTATATGGTACACATGAGACATTTGAAGTTTCTTTTCTAGGTATATATATAAAGTGTATATATGTGTGTGTTCATACGTGTATATAGGTATGGATGTGTATTTGTATATATAAGGTCTTTGTTTTAGTATTAATGATTAGTTACATATTCATGTTAGACTTTGGAGCTTTGGTTACTTTTTGGCAACATCAGAAATTTTAAAGACATGTAAAGGGTAAATGAATAGTAAACAATGAGGGTTGGTACATATAAGCTAAATAGCGTCAACCTACTCCTTTTTGATCTCCAAAAAAATAGGGAATTTCTTGTCTAAAATTGTACTGTATGTATATTTGATCGAATGAACAATCTCAATCTGAAAAAAAAATAGTTATAAAGTGCTTTAACGTGATTTTAAATACATTTATAATGCATCAAATAAAGTGCTACTGTTGCAACTGTACAAATAACAGATAACAAATAATTGGCTTTCTAAAGTTTGTTCTTCTAACAAAGTTGACATCAGCCCATGTGCTAAAAACACCATGGAGAAATTCAATAATTCTCTCAACTCCCTCATCCACGAGTGTCCAGTCCTTTAGTCTCATCATGTTTAACCAAAGTCATTTTTGCTTTTGTTGACTGGCAGCGGCAGCTTGAATACAGGAGAATTTTAGTTTCTATCACTTCGTCTAACAACAAGACTGAAAGGAGTCACGTGTCGCCTCCTACTCTGTGGTGCTGTTGCATGTTTACCTCCAGTGTTTCTTAACATGTGAGGCTCTGCTCTGCAGCGTCAGAGTCTGGTGATGGTACTGAAATTGATTCACCGCCCACCCCTATGATCATGCCCTTGACTCTCTACTCTTAAGATGCACAAAAGTAATCCAAAACTAAGATAACTAAGGACAGCAGCAGGGGTTGAAGAGTCTCACCTGTCTCTGCAGACTCCCACCACCTGAGCAGACATCAGAGCGTCACAGTGTGATTGTGCTTTCGGACTATTTTCAGCTTTGGTTAATAAAGACCTGCTGTTTTCTCTGCCATCCTCTTTGTTTAATGATGCAGAAAAACAGCACAAAGATCTGACACGGTGTGAGTATTAACTCAGGACAGAGCTAACCCTGCTTCTTATTTATGTTTCGAAAAGATCCAGTTTTCAGCGTCAGATAAGCAGCACAGTTTTCATGCATTTTTCACATCATCTGTTTTTCTTATCCAATTCTCCAAAGCGTTTTCACTTCGAGAATTGTCATCTACAGCCAGAGTCGATTCCTGTAACAGAGCGAGGTTCATTATTGGTCTGAATACTCCTGTGTGTAATTATGCTCCCAGCATTCGCACACCATCAGAATAGCCGTCATACAGCAGTCAGGTGCATCAGTGTCTCCTCCTGTTACTAATAAAGAGACTTTCCTGAACATGACAAGAGCTGAGTTAAAGCGAGAGTTAGCATTTCTTGCATCTGAGGTTTTGATCATTTATTGCTGATATTTTACGGCATATTATCCCTCTCTTCGTCTGCAGCAAACGGGACATGAATGATCACAGGCTGCTATCATTTATCCAGAACTGAGGCTGTGATTAACTCGCGCTGTGTGATGAATGTTCGCAGTCTGAGCTGTATTTGCACGCAGCAGTATAACCTGCAGACGTCTCATAATTTGTAGCAATTGGATGTCATCCATATTCGTCACATCCTCTCTCCGGGGGGGTTTCCTGCAAACTGGCCAACACATTTCTCAAAAGAAAAAAACTCATGTCACCAGAGCTGCTATCATTAAGTTTCATTTCTGATTAATCATCCTGTGATTCTTATCAAATCTTCTTAATAATTACATGATTAATATTCTGATGATCAATTAAAGAAGACTGAAACATGAGGTGGTTTTATGAAATGTCTGTATTCGTCGAACAAAACTGTGTGACTTTGTTTTCCATTCTCTCCGTTTTAGCTCTTTGAGCTCCTTTTTCTCTTAATGAAACCTTTAAATGTCCTTTTAAGAGGCTTGTCTCTCACGTTCACTGCGCTCTGAAGGATCTCAGCATGGGGACACATTTAAGGGAGAAAAAAAAATATCACAAAAAAAAAAAAGGGAAAAACTGTTGAAGACGGTAGACATGCATGGCAGCCTTTGTTGCTCCCTGTGCTGCAGATGAATAGTCAAGTTTTAACCGCCTCTAAAAATAATCCGTCAGATTCCATCAGTTAAACTGAGTGACACGGCCTTTGACGTTTTGACTGAAATAATGCAAGAACTGTACAAAGGATGGAGCTGCGATTAAGCGCATCATCGGAAACATTAATTCTTTTACTAGTTTTAACTCTGCACCATCTATCTATCTATCTATCTATCTATCTATCTATCTATAACTCGTACACACTAGCCATATTTCCTTCATTTTATGTGTGCATCCTTTAAGTTTTCATTATTATTTATCTTTTATTTTCATGGCCACCGTTTTCAACAAGTGCATAAATTTGAAAAAGAAGTTGATAAAACATGACGCTTTTTTATTACCTCTCTATTCTCAAGTAAAAATCATGTATTTTTAGCAAACAGTGGGATGATATCAGGTCTAAACATCACTGACAGTCAATTTTATCAAAAAAAGAGTGAAGCAGCCAAAGTGGAGTGGCATCTTGAGAGGTCCTGAGCCTGTACTTGTTGGCTGCATTGGGTCTGGCATTCTGTGGACTTGCAGGAGTGGGCGGGTTTAAAGCTGTTGTTGGTAAGAGTATGGGGCCAAAGAAATCCCTGAAGGTCTAAGCTGTTTTTTTTTTTTTTTTAATCTTAATATTATTTTGGGGCTATTTGTTTATTTTAGATTGATCAGCATTTGAAGACACCAGCTCCTTTAGTTTCAGGTCATTCTGTAATAAATTCCTGGCTTAGGGTGCTTTTGGGATAGAAAGGATACAAAAAGTCCTAAGACTGCAATGGGTACTGTCGCACACTTTTCTGTACGATAATAACACCAAGACAGTACAGTAACAGGCCAAGAATGTACTTAAACCTACAGGTTGTCAGAGATGGCGGTCCAACCAACCTGGGAATATAACTCACAATGGTGAGTAAGAGCTTCACAATTTGTTTAAACCTTAAAGCTGTATTAATCACATGAAGACATTGAGCAGAGACGTACATATACAAGAGATCACCAAAGTCCAGTATGGGTACAACAGTAGAAAAACACAACATCAATCACAACCAGCCTCTGTCTCCTCTCATCAGCAGTGACCAGCACAGGCACGTTTTGTAGCACAACCTCTGAACTGGTAAACATTATCACCTTAGTTTTCTCTACAACAAACTTCAGCTCAAGCAAATACATCCTTCAGGAACAATGTCTACTTCACAACAGCACATAACCATGTCATCAGCATAGAAATGGAGCGCACCATCGGTTACAGTTAGCCACAGATTATTCACATAGATAGTAAACAAAAAGGGGGCCCACAACAGAGCCCTGCAGGTTTGCTAAAGCGCATCGTATCATTTTCGCTATCATGGATTAACTATCCCCTCTTATAGCTCCATCTCACACCAGTGCCTCTATTGCTTCACCGTTTTTCTTGTGTACGCTCGTGACTTTCTGCCACATCATAAGAAGTGGAAGGAAAATACCCCTGATGTTGCTTTGGTTGTCATCCAGTACGACACACTGAGGGAATAATAAAACTATCGATCTTGGAGACAGATTAAGTCCTGACACCCTACACCTGCTCGATAAGGCTGTATTCCTGCTTGAAAGATTCATACCATTATTTACTCCTCCTAAAATTGTTTATTGAGGCTGTAGAAATATTAAACTCTGAGGGGTTTATCCATGAACTTTTCATCAAATTAAAATGTGGAATTGGTGGAGATGGTGGTGTTTAGAGTAGTCCTCACACTTACCACCCTCTTGTCCAAATATGGTCACTTCTGGCTCTGTAAAACAGGATGAGGACGGCCAAAGTGTCAGAGTCAAGTGTCACAGAGAGGAGCTGATTTCCATCTGAAGCTCCGGCTCGGGCAGCAGGTGTTTTCAACAAGTTTAATAACTTTTAAAACTAAAAATTTAGAAATCCACGACCACTTAATGTAGCAACAGCCAGGTGTGCTGAGAGTTTAAAACACTCTTTTTATTATTCACACACCTACTTCAGTCACTTTTACAGTGTACTGTACAGCCAGCTGCAGTTCAATGTACGCTTCAAGGAGATGTTGCTTAAATGTGTGAAACTTCATGCCTTTTAATATGAGTCACTGCATCAAGGTACCAGAGACAGAGCTGCAGCCAGGAGAGAGATGAAATAGACATATTTAACACCTCCGACAAGTGCAAATAGTCGGTTTAGATCTAAAGAAAGTGTCTCGATATCAGAAGGAGTGTGTCGGAGCAAAACGGCAGGCAGGTTTTCTTGATTCGTGATCCGAACTTTTGACTTTCAGGTGGGATTTTGCACTTAATTTTTTTTATCTGACAGGAAAAAGTGTTAAAAAAGTGAGATGGAGATGAAGGTATGAGTCTGGACTTGAGGAAGAGGAGCCTTTGTGAGGTTTTTTTGTTGTTAAGTAAAAGGGGTGATGATATCTCCGATTCATTTGCGGTATGTCAGGTACATCTGTGGGCGAGCAGTTTGGCCAAAGGGTAAGTCCCATTCCTTTGCTGTGTGTCAGGAGTGTGAGAGCATGTGTGTGTGTGTGTGTGTGCCTGCATACTGTGGATTCCTGGTGTGCAGGTTGCATGTGTGAGCAAAGAGAAAGCACCTGGCTGAGAGGTGAGTCACAAACACAGGTAATCGCTCTGACATTTAATTCTAATGAAGCACCGGGAAGATAATGGTACCTATTGGCATTAGCAGGGACACACACACACTAACACGTCTGAAGGGAAAAACAAGCACACACACACACACAGACAGATAAAAGGTTGTCCTCAACACTTAGCAGAGTAAAACCTGTGCTTAAGACCCTGACTCATGCACATTAAGGCGGAGAGAGCAGAGGAGGGAGAAGTGTATCGAGGCCTCAGATGAGATGACAGTCAAAAGGACACAAACGCAGCCAAACAGAGCCGGCGCTAACAGAAGGCACGGAGAAGGAGGGTCTGGTGGGGGGGGGGATGAAGGGGAAGGATGGAGAGGGTGAGGAGGTGACTAATGCAGGAGATGCTGATTAGCTTACTCAGAAAGTCTGCGAGTTGGAGAGAAATGGAAAGTGAGTTCATAGAGCAGAAACACTCAAATTAAAGTCTGAAGAAAAGAGGAGGAATCTCAAACAAGTAAAGTAGCTGTGGCTAAACTGTGTGCAGAAATAAGAGGAGGTATGATAGGCTCTATTGATCCCCTATCGGAGGAAAGTCTCATACTACAGCAGCCCACAACACGGGGAATTCAGCAAGAGATTCTCAGAGTTTAGACAGAATGATATTAAAGGTGAGAATCATAAAGATACTGCAATAATACACCTCATGTTGGATAATGCTAAGGAGAAAGACAGCTTTAACGGTTTTCATTTTAGTGTGCGTGTTAACTGAGCTCAACCAATCAGCTGCTCTTGGATGTACCTGACACTCCCTGAACAATTTCCACCCATAAGAGGTGGAACAGCTGACCACTTCAAATAAAATCCACCTCCATTTTTGACCATTTAAAATCCTTACTGAAGACCTCTCTTACTTTGCCCTTCCTCCTGAGAACTTTCTTATCCTCAATCAAATCTTTCAATCAATCAAATTTTATTTAGACAGCGCCAATTCACAACAGTCGTTATCCCAAACGCTTTCCAAAAAAATAAAAAGAGCAGGTCTAGACCACAATCATTGTTTGATGAATTACCAAGACCCAACCTTCAGATGGGACAGATTTGACCCATCTCATCTAACATAAGTGACAGTGGCAAAGAAAAACTTCCTTTAAACAGACAGAAACCTTGGGAAGGACCAGACTCATGCTAGACAGCCACCTCGCTGCTGCATCCCGACAGATTAAGTTTTTTTTTTTGATAATTATGTTGTATTATTTTTAGTTTTCTTGTTGTACTTTTTTTCAGTGAAACATCTTTGCTGTTGCTCTCTTTGCCTTTTCTTCACACATGAAACAGAAGTTAGGTTTGCTCCTCCTGCCTCAGGCTTTGGCATTTCATGACATACTTTGGAGCTCTGGGGTCTGCTGCTGCTCTCCCTGCACTGGCTTTTTTTGTATCCATGTAAAACAGTGAAACCCACATACAATAACTATCAGCAAGTCTACTTTCTGATTTATGAGACTCGACTCTAGTAACTGAAGGGCTCCAAACTTATTCTCACTCATCTTTTTCTGGTGTAACGTCTAGACTGTTGCTCAAATAGGACTCTCAGGTACTTAACACCACTGGAATTGATCCCATGACCAGTGGGACTTTAAATTTCACAGTCTGTCTCACAAATAACGGCCAAATTTTTTAATAATCACAGCCAGTTTCTGCTCTATAAACACAGCCAAAAAAATCCTGGCTGTCATGCCTGCCACAAATAAATATACGACAAATATCATTAACGTGTAGAACTTCAATCTGCAATTCAGCCCATTTTTCACATAGAGCTCGATGGGGACTGACGCACTTCAAAAAAGAGCCTCTAGTGGACACATGAGGAACTGCTGTTTTAATACTTAGAACTCTGAGAACACTTAGAACTGTTTACAGTTTCCTGGGAACTATACTGTGTATCTCTATGGGATAAAAAGTGTTCAAAAGCTTACCCTTTTGGCGATCTTTCGAGGGTTTCCAGGCATTTCTACACCTGCCACAAGGTTTACAATCCAGCCACAAAAATAGATGTTTGATTAAAGATGTTTGATGGTAAATCCGCAGTGATATACCGGTGAAAACATGATTATTTATCATATTGTTGTGATTAAAAAAAAAGGTCGCTATCACTAAATGCCGCTAATGTCTTCCGGGTTTGACAAGCTGTTTTGATGACATCTTTTTCTGTCAAATTTTCAACCAGTTACATGAGCTCATATTCTTCTTCTATTGTTCCCTTGCAACCAAAGATCAACAAGAGACAAGAAAGTTCCCTGCTTGTTTGCAAAATAAGAAATAATGGTCCTCAATGCTTGGAAACAAGCAAAGACGAGATTATGAGCAGTATGATGTGGTCCTCTGTCTCATCCCAGACAGGAACTGATTCAAGGAGTGGCAAAAACAACAAGAAATAGTAAAAAAAAAAAACGCCTGGAAGAATTCGTGTAAATATGTAACAAAGATTTCTGCTGTGTGTTTGTTTCAATCCCAATATTTCTTCTCCTGATAGCCAAGACTTAACAGAATGATGTGCAGGTTAGAAAAGGCTTGATCACTGAAGATCTATGTGTTTTTTTTAGCAAAGTACTGTTGGTATTAATTTCCGTTTTTGTTTTTTGGTTTACTTTGATGGTTCTGAATCTACTGTCACATTTGTTCTACAAAATTTTTGCACACATAAACTGACAGCTGAGGTTGTCCTAAAAAAAGATGTGTAAATATTTGCTGTGGTTGAAAAGAAAGAGTTTCTACATAGATTTTTACAAAAACAAAAAGACAAAAATAGCTAAATATAGCTGGGAGTCCTAAGGGTTAAATTTGCCTCATGGTTCAAAGTGGACACTTTAAGACAGTGAGGCATTTCTGCTTCAATTTATTCGAAAGCTGATGGGTAAGATGCAGTAAACCGAAGTGGGAATTTTATGATACAGTCATGTATGAGTGTGTGTGTGTCTGTGTGTGTGTACAGAGTTCATTAGCATGCTGAAGGTCACGTCTGATGTCACCGTGTTTCCCCTCAGTATAAAGCTTGACGGCTGATTGTGGTTTGTATCTGACTCACTGTGGTTTCCCTCTATCTCCGTCAGATATCGCCGTGTGTTTGTGTATGTGTGTATATGTTTGTGTGTTTGTGTATGGGACTGAAAAAGAAAGAGGATGACCAAAGAAGTTGATGCCTTTTTTTTTTTTTTTTGGTTGCGTTGTGAGTCAGATGTGTCACAGACCGTCAGAAATGTCAGGTTAAATGTTGGACTGTTGGTCACCCTCCACATCACAAAGATTACGCCCCTCCCCCTCCATGTTGCTTTTGTGTTTTTTGGGATTTTTTCTGATGCCCACACGCAAAATAACACAAAAAGTACAAAAAGCCCTCGTTTATTTAACCTCTGTCAGATTTTTTGGATGGTTTTGACGTGCTGTAAAAAACGCCCATGTGGTTTTGGGAAATTCTGCCATTGAATTTCATGCTCTTTTGTTCTTCCTCCCCACCAACAACATCCTTCAAAAACAGTCTCCATCTGCTGATTGTCAGCTTGTGCAAGGACAACAATGACTTTATGAGTGACTGTGATTGTGTATTAAAGACGCGGTGTGTTAGAGAGACAGAGAGAGAGAGAGAAGCTAGGGTGATAAAGAAGTAGACTGCAGTATGAGACCTTGAAATTTCACTTGTTGCTCTGGAAACAGAAAAGACACATTCAGGTGAGAATCAGTGTAAAAGACGGAGCAAACACAAGATTTTCCATTAATTTAGACCATCTCTGCAAAATCTGAAGCTGTACTAGGATAAAATATGTCATCAGGCAGTGGGTCCTTTTTTTTCTTGTCTGACAAGATATTTTTCCCAACATATTGTTAAATGCCGGGCTGTTTCAGCTGTTTTAACCTTTTTCTTTTTGCCTCAAATTCCCTGAAAAGATACAATGACTTTCCTTCTGAGTTTCAAGATAAAGGTTTTGTTTAATAAGGAAGATTAAATTTGCCCCACCTGCCTGCAAAGTAATCATTTTTTGGAAAACCAGCTGTTCATTTTTTTGTCTCGGTTTGACTGTAATAAGAAACCTACACAGAGGCTTGACTCTGGCTTACTGTTAATGGTTAGTCTGAGTTTCACTGTCAAAATTAAGTAACACTAAATCTCTACTCTGGGCTTCATCTGTTTGTGCAAATCGTCAGTCACACAGATGCTTCTCTCTGGTTAAAACCTGAAACAGAAACTGATGATCTTGTGATTTCCTTCAGTTTGCTGAAATAAAAACATGATAAAGATCAATAAAATGTCAAAAGTCAAGTTTTGTCAAGTCTGTCCTTAAAAGGAGAGGAAAACAAACTTTAAATGTTTGTTAAATGGAGGTCAGATCTGTCATTTCTGATGCATTCGGGGAAGTCAGGAAATCTAACCGCTGATTGTCTTTAGTGACTCAGCATCTCGCAGATCAGTGTCTCAGCATAAATGTTTGATCTAGAACAGTTAGCTGACCTGCTAACCTGTTGAATCCTCCTCAGATTACCAACCATAGGAGCTGGGATGTCTTTATGGTGCATTTATGCATGTTACAGTGTTCTGCCTGCTTTTGCTCTCCATAAAGATAATTTTTCTGATACCTGATTAGCTAATAAAACTAGGACTCTCGATCTACTTTACACATAAAGCATAGTTTCTAAACTACTTTCTGTGTCTCAATACTTTCACTGTCAGATTAAAACAAGAAAAAAGTAATAATTTTAAGGTTTAAGGTTACTAACATCTTTTTTTTAAGCGAAACTGCTTTTACAGATCAGCATCTTCAGAAAAGATGAGGTGGATAAATGCTTATGTAATCCGTGTGGTTGCACCAGTTTTCTCTGTCCTGTGTTTGTCTTGCTTTTATGCACAACTATAACTAAAAAAGGAGGAAACGCATTTTGCAATGTCATATTTTTGTACTTTTTAAGACAGATTCTGCAGCCAAACAGATGATTTTTTTAACTTGCACTGTGTTTGCTAAATTCGACTTGCTTTTGATTCAAGAAAACACCACAATGCACTTAGTTATTGTGGATTATTTTACTTCAAAAAATAATCTTTGCAGGTGATTTCTTCTTGCTTAGTTGGTAGAAAACTCAACTTATTTTCTGCCACATTTTGCACATGTCTGTCATGTTTCTGAGTGCTGACTTTCTGCAGAGATTCATGCTGTTTGAAAGCAGTTTGCAAACTCTGCTGTCCTGTTTTTACAGGAGGCAACAGGTCCTGATCCTCATCTCTGTGGGGCGATGCAGTATATTACTCAGTAACATTTCTTTCTGCACATCATTCTGCCGATCCTTTCAGTACCTGAGAAAGCTCGGCCTCATTCCTTTCATTCCTTTAATAGTGGTTTGCCCTTAGAGCTGCACGGTGCTCCTGCACAACTTTTATTTTCATCATAATTTTCTAGGACAGTGTAGCATTAGTGGCCTCTGCTGTCAATACATCTTTTCTTTATTTGGGGACTGGAGGGGGGCTTTCTTTTGGATTTTGTCCTCCTCCCTCACACTAAATACATCCTTGTATCTCCATTAAACATGATGCTTTTCATTGGATTCAGAAGCGACAGTCCTTTTCAGCAGGTTGTCACGCCCTCGTCATTGTGCTGCTATTTAACGATGCAGAAAAAAAAAAAAAAAAACTTGAAAACTGACAGTCACTTCTCAGGCGTGGACCTTTTTTAAACAATGTTTCGATTTTACTTTCAAATGAATATGTTTTTCCTTTTTTTTTGTCCCTGCAGCTTGTGTTTGAGTGGTGGAGGTGAAACCCATTATAAGATGTGTCGGCGGAAAGAGGAGAGAGAATGAGTGAGAGGGGGAGAGAGTGGCGCTGTGGCGTTCGATGAGTGGGCTGCTGTGCATTCTTTTAGCCTTATTCACCGAGCGAGCGTGGGCGGCTAATTCGTGTTTGCATTCAGCAGGTTTACCTAAGGGGGGAAATGTTTTATTTTATGCTGTCTTTGAAATCGATGACTAATTGTGCTCCTTTTTCTCTCCGACTATCCACCTCTCCTGGCTCCATTTTCCCCACTTTTTGTCTCTCAACACTGTCCCCTTCTGGACTCAGATTTTGGAGCTCCTGACTCTTTGGTTTTGGTTTTGCAAAAAGCCAGGACAAAGATGTTATACCCCGCTCGGGCTGCTGCAACATACATCGCGAAAGAGGCGTGATATCCTCAGTTTTTTTTTTGCAGGAAACGAGTTGAATTAATCTCTTACAGAGCAGCACAAAGAGCGCAGGAGAGCCGCACAGACACGGCCTTGGAGAGGGGGGAGGAAAAAAATACACTGACATCTTAAGAAATGGAGGGAGAGTGAGATTGAGAGGCAATAAGACAGTTGAGAAAAAAAACGAAGCAAGAGAAAGAAGTGCATTCTCCCGACATGAGTCACTTCTGAGTGAAAGCTTTGTAATTTAAGCCACACACAGTGAAGGAGAAAGAAAGGGAAGGAAAGATAGAGAGATAGAGAGAGGGGAGAAAAGCAGACGGATACAGACTTTATCCATCATGAAAATCACCGGCTTTAACCACTGCACAGCGGGCGGCTTCAATTAAGTCTGTGGGTGTACCTGATGTGGCAATACACCTATCCAAGCTGATTTAAACCTGCAGTAATTACACACAAAGAGGCTGAGAAACTGAAAACTGCACTTTATGTGCAGACAGTACCAGTCTGTATGGATCACTTATACACTTTACTCCCTGCTGGAAACACTTACTTCACCAAATCATCATAGGTTACTTTTTCTTTGCTTTCATATTGCAAACACCTCGTTGATGAGGCTCGGGAGTTATATCTCAGAGTTAATTTTATGTTGCATTCACATGTGAGATGTAAAATCACTGTTTTTGAGTGTTTAGATGTGAAATCAATGTAGAAACACAATTAGACGTGTGTTCTTGTCGAGGGATTTGAATGATTTAAATGAGACAAACTGATCATGGTGGTGAGAGGCTACCCTAAACTGGGGGTGCAAGAAAGTTGCAGATGCTGTATCTTAACCATCACATACTGTTCGGGGTCAAATTTGACCCGTTTTGACTTTTAACAGCAGTAAAAATACCCTATACATAATTTTTTAAGCCTGAAACTTGACGACTTTTCCTGAAATAACCCAAAATACATGAAATTAATTTTAAAATATTCATGTGTATTTTTGTTTATGTGCTACAAATTTTTCCCCTCTAAGGCTGTTACGGGTCAAATTTGACCCGTATCTATATTTAGATGGATTTTAGATCTAGCAGTGTGGGACAAGTGACAAACAGTAACAACAGTGTTCAATATCATGTTTGTTGTTCAAAAAGATATATTCAAATCATTATGAAACTATCATTACCTTGACAGAAACACACAAACACACGCACACAGACATACAGTCACACAGACACACCTAGACAGAGGTCAAAATGACCTACTCTTTGAAGGGGCAATTTTGACCCGGAACATACTGTGAGGGTACAGGATTTGAACAGTATGTGAGGGAGATATTCCGGCGTAAAATTAAGTTAGGCTCAAACACACCGCAACACCAAGTTAGACACCCCGTCGAGAGATAAATGTTGCCGACCGCTTCCTTCTAGTTATACCAACTTTCGTAATGACTGCAGATAGCAATACAGAGAGCCACATGCTCAACCAGAACGCAAAAAAAAGTTGTGCAACAGCAGTGCACACTATCAGGCAGCCAGAGGTGAAGAGAGAAGAGAGCAGGGAGAGGAGCAGCAGAAGGCAGACGTGTTTGTGTGCGTCTGAAAAGCCAATGGACAGAGTGAGCAAAGTAAGAGAGAGGCTGTACTAACAAGCTGCAAATACACAAATGATGCAAAGCAAAATACACAAGATCAGAAAGCAGTCGAAAAACGTGATAAAAGCAGCAAAAATGTAAAATGTTTGGAAGGAAGCGCGCCAGTGACACAGCTTAGCTTGTAACTTAACAGCTGATTCATGTTGTCCGATAAACAAATCTTCATGAAGGGTTTATCCAAGATCAGTCAGGCTTTGTATCTTCAGCGGCAGGACTACTGAAAAACATTTGGTGGATCCACATGGTCGCCTGTACATGACTCATGAGGTATTTACCATGACCTGCCTGAAGCCCCGCCCCCTCTCTCACCACTATTTCATCCACCGTGGCCAGAGCGATCATAGCGTCCAAACTACACAAACAAACGTGTGCATGTGTCTGCACGTGTCCTCAAACGCAGCCTGTCCACTTGACAGCTGGCGTCTTAAAAAAACGGTCTTAAAGATTTTTTTTTTTTTCCTTGAGGTTGAGAAACAAAAACAGAGACACATGTCGTGAGTCACCGCCGTGTGTGGTGATGATCCGTCACAGAGAACATGTTGGTGGTGGCGCATTTACAGGCAGCAGGTTGTTGGCATGACCAGCCTCCTGTCAGGACAGATGTATGTAAGAGATAAACTAAAGGCCAGACTACAGTGCCGACCCTCTAGCGCTAAATGACAGACAGCACATCCTCTAAAGCAGCTGACACACAGAAAACCATGTGTTTGTACCCACAGGGCACTAACATGTTCACTAAGAGGTTTGTACAATCAGAGCCAAAACTTGGGACAGATTCCCCCCCTCCGATTTATGACTTATTGTCCTTGGATAACCTTAGAGATTAATCACCTTTTTTTATCATTCAAAATATAATCAAGTTTATTATTATAATTATTATAATTATTGTTATTATTGCAGCAATCCAAAACAATGACAGTGATTGGATCTTTACAAGTCAGCTGATTGTGAATACAGCCTCTGAATGGACCTCATAAAATTCACACATTAATGGGTGCAGATGAGGTCAAATGTCTTGCCCAAGGACATTTCGCCATGTGGATAGGGTGACCATATTCTGAATCCCCAAAATGAGGACAAGACTATGTAGGGGCGGAGTCACAGTCACACAAAGTTTATTTTGAGAGTTTTTCAGTCGGATCAAGTGTCTTTTACATGCTTCTAACTTCTAACTTTTCCTTACATGGTCATACATTCAGCTTCTATGAATTCTATTTTCTCACTTCACTGAGTGAAATGTTTAAGGGGCCTTTACAGTGTGCCCTGGCAGCACTACATAATTTAGTACAGCAGCTAGACAATAGGGAACTGGGTGAAGAAATAGTCTTGATAGCACTATATAACCAAAGTTACAATCAACCATAACGTCTCAAAAATAATCACAGTAATCTTCAACAAGAGCTTCAGCCACTTCACATTACACCAGTGAAAAGCTGCAGTATTTCCTGTCAACTCCCATTGCCCAGCTGGTGCTTAAGTAAAAACTCAGTGTGCTTTTTTTCCAACAGAATAATCAGCGACCTTTAGTCATGTCAGGAACACTGATCAGGAACACTGTGCAGCACTTTTTATTGACTTGTTGAAAGCTTTTGACACAGTGGACCATGTAACAACAAAACAGCGACTTTCTGTTACTGGACTGTCAGAACAATCCGTCTGTTGATGTGAGAAGGATTTTTCAAACAGATCACGGTGTGTGCCGGCTGAAGGACTAGCCTCTAGATCTCTTCAGATCAGATCTGGTTCCTCCATGGGGCCCTAGGCAAAAATATGCCAAGGGGCCCTCCTAACTAAAATCAAGTCTCAAGTCTAAAATCAAGTCCCCACCACCCCAAGACCTCAGGCTGTGGTGCAGCATATGAGCTTATGACTGTTTTGACAACATAGGCGCAAATGTCTTATCATCTTGGTGACATTTCAGGATATTGAGATGGATTGGCATGACAACAGAATGCAGTGAGGAAGATTTTACTATCTTTCAATGAAGCATGAATGAATGAATGAATGGAGCACAGCCAGGGGACAGTAGCGCCCAATGCTCTGCTCCGCTCCAGTCAGCAGCAGCAGAAAGTCCATGCATATATCATATGGTGGAAATATTATACATGGATGTTTGTTGGAAACAACAAGGCAGCAGGGGCAGACAGCGGGTCTGTGTCTGTCCTGTCCGTGCGGCTGCTGCTCTGCTCTCTGCGTCTGCGCCAGTGGCGCCAGCGGAGCGGCTCTGAGCAGCTGGAGCAGCATAAAGTAAAGTCCACCATAGAGTCTGTGGTGGCACTAATATTCCGTCGTACAATGGGTAACCCAAAAGAAGAGAGGGATTACGTTACGTTGCCTTGCCTACCTGACTGCTGTTCACTTAGTTCCTTATCATGAGCTCTCTCTTTCTTCTTTTCGCATGCCCTGATGGATAATTCCGCTTCATCTTGCGATGCTCTGCTGCTGCAAGCCATGCAGGGAATGCGTGCGTGTGATGGAATCATTAAACGCTTCTTCTTTTTTTGTTTTTTTTACCCTTAACGTGGGTGACGTAATGGGCCGTGTGGGGCCCTACGCTCTGAGCGTACCAAGCGTTATGGGTGCACCAGTACTGCAACAGATAGTGGCATGCCCCAAGGCTCCATCTCAGGACCACTGTTATTTACACTCAATATTATCAATATTAGTCTAAATGCTTCTGATGCTAATATATGTTTGTATGCAGATGATACTGTTAAATATTGCTCTGCATCAACCGGTAACAGACTCTTTTTAGACCAACCAACACAACCTTCATGACTTAAGGTAACTGAACAATAAAAAAGCTGTATGTGTACCATATTTTCCTGCGAAAAAAAAAAAAAAAAGGATATCTATACAGTGACTTTGTAAAACGTCTGATTTTGTAACTCCAAACATTATTTACACAGAAGTGAAAACCTCATAAAGTTTCGAGTTCTTCGAAACAAATGTTGGAACAAATGTTCCCGCAGCTGACGCCATGCTGTGGGTCTGTTTGTCAGGAAGGAGCTGCTGAGTGACACTTCAGATACATTATTGTTCAGAAAAACTAATTACAGCGAAAACCTTCAAACATTCAATGTAAGGTAATATTTCCATTCTCTGACAGATCCTCATTTACAGTAATTATAGGTCAGCTTTAAGAGAGAAGTCAATGCAAACTAAAGTCTTTGTCACTTCCTGGCTGCTGTGGTTCGTAAATCAGACGTTTTACCTTATTTTCGAGTCGTGTTTGCAGATCAAGTTGACTTTACAGTTGAAAAGTGGCGCTTAAGTTTAAGACAGGTTGTTACAGCTGTCTGAGGCATTGAGACGATGATTGTTTCCAAACTTTACGGACTTTCTCTGCTTTTCAACATAGAATAAGAGGTTGGATGAGAAAAATAAGCAAACTTTTTTCTTTTTATACAGAGACAGATAAAAAAGTCAAATCATCATTAGACAGGGTTGTATTCTTCTGATGGGTTCAGGATTTCTTGCATCGCTTTCCTGCAAAAATCCAAATAATGTTGCTTTGTGATAAGTTGATTATTAAGACCAGCAAACTTCAAACATTCATAATCCTGAAACTCCTCTTTTCATTTTTGCTTGTACGCAGATTTTGCTTCAAAGACACAGGGAGTGAAGTCGAGCAATAAAATGTGTTACCATGGCAATAGCAATGAAGGTTGCATCACAAGGCGTGAGAAAGTACTTCTTTGTATGCAGAGTTTGCATTTTCTTCCCTGTGAGATGCATGCAGCGTGTTGGCCAAATGCTTCAACAGTCAAGATGGCTTTTAAAATGCGTGTAATCCCATTATCTGCAGCAATTAACATTATGGCTACATATGTAAACCACAGAAACAGATGGACTCTGGAGTATTTACTTCTTGCAGCCACATTTGCAGCACATGCGCAGTTAAACCAACTTTAGTAACAACTGCACAATAGCAATACAGAGAGCCACGTGCTCTACAGCCACAAATACTGCTCACAACAGGACCTAACTTCATCAACAGTACAGGGTCCTAGCCAGCAAACATCTTTTTAGCTTTGCCTAATTTCTTTAGCAAAGAGACTAAACACAACTTACCTACTCTCTTCCAGCAGCCGCTTGTTTGTATGAAGACCTCTGGGCGAGTCCATCGGGGGATGCAGCTCAAGGAAGAACATTTATTAGTTTCTTTGCTAAAGAAATCAGGCAAAGTTAAAAAGAGTTGGCTCGTACTATGGCTGGGACCCTATATGTCCTGTTGATGAAGTTAGGTGCTGTTCTGAGCATTATTTGTGGCTATAGAGTGGTGTTTTGGTTGGTCGTGAGGCTCTCTGTATTGCTATCCGCGGTCGTTACTGAAGTTAGTTTCACTAGAGAAGCAAGTGGTCGGCATCATTCATCTCTTGACGGGGGTGGCTAACTCATTGTTATGGTGTGTTTGAGCCTAACTTAATTTTACACCGGAATATCCCTTTAATGGTAAATTTCAGATGCGTGCTGCACAAAAAAGATGTCTAGACTTTGAGAACGCCATTGATAATGAGACATCAGATAGCTGCTGCCTCCCCTATAACTTTGCCTGTGTGGATGATATCTGTTTAGTTTTTTTTTTCAAACGGTGAGAGCTGATCTATCCTTTTTTTCACACTATTTTTACTGCATATAAAAAACACAATCTGATCTATCTCTGCTGTTTGCACAGCCTGATACAATGCATGATCTATGGCTCCACATGCTTTAACAACACACGCAAAAGCAGTAATGCGACAAGTTTGTAATTATTCTTATTTTCATCGAACAGTGACAGCTATCATCTCCATACGTCTTTATATCAGTACAAGAAGTCAACACTGGGCCGACCCAATCACCACGGCATGACAGTATGAAAAACACAAAGTGACATAAACAGAAAACTACTCTGTTCACTTTCCTTCTTTTGAAGGTTTGAAGTGTTTTTCTTGTTTTGTGTGCTCACTGCGTTATACAATTTAATTGTTTCTACTTTTTCTGATTTTCCTGCCTGAACCGTGTCTCTATGAAGACTCCTCTAAGTTGATCGTATTGGATATATTCCTGATTATAAAGGGAGTTATAAACTGTTTCAGAGCGCTTCAGATTTTAAGTTTTGGACATTTTCACACTTTTTCCTCAGTCAGACCAAAGTAATAAGTTTTTAAGGATGTTTTTTTTTTAAATGCATCAATCCTTTCATGTTGTTTCCTTTGCAGAGATAAAGTTGTCATTGCCTCGAGGTCCGGAGAGGTTAAACTGTGCCACTGAAGCCTTTACCTCGCAGGTAAAGAAAGCAGAGCATAAAAAAAAACAACCGTAAACCTGATTATGATGAAATCTATCTCTGACTTCCTGACAGAGGTCTCAGGTTGTGTTTGAGGGGTTTCCCACTGAAATGCAGCTCTCTCTGACTCTGAATGGTAAAGACAGGATTTCATATCTGAAACCAGTTCCTGCAAACACTCAAGTTCACCTGAGAGACAACAAATACGGACTTTGACCCGCTTTTGAAACAGAAATGAGGGAAATCCCTAATATGGAAATGAGACACCTGTGCCAGAGGAGCCGAGGTAGAAAAAAAGGAATCTTTCAGCAGTCTGCAGGCACACACCCCGCCCGCCTGCAGTTTGCCCTGCCTGTGTGACTTACAGTCATCGTTACTCAACCGTTACAAATCATTCCAAGTCGGTGACAGGTCAGGAGTGCAGGACGCTGGCTGAAGTCCACCCCCGTCAGCCTGGCCAAGCTCCAGCAGCCGCGTGGTCGCCGGAGTCGGCGGGCTGCTTTGATCCGCCGACAGAGAGGCTGTTTCAAAGGACACACAGGTGATAAAGCAGAGCGAGGATACGCTCCCCTCCCCGCCGTCTCCCAGTCTTATCAGCGTGGCCTACATCACAGCGCTCTCAGGTCATGCTCCGTGTGGACAAACCCACGCAGGGAGCTTCAAAATACCGCACAGTGACGGGGAAAGTGTGAGGAAAAAGTGCAGAACAGAGAGATTCGACACTTTTACTGTGAGGATTTTAAAAGAGTGGCACAGCTATGGTAGAAATCCTCACAGCAGTGATCTACAAAATCACACAAAAAAATGAGTGAGCTCTTAGTTCAGATCCCACAGATTCAAATGAACTAGTTCACGTTTATTTTTAAAGCTCTTTAAACTTTTCTGTACAGCCTCCTGAGCTTCAGTTCATAACCTTCAATCATTGATGTTTCCTAAACTGAATAAAGATCGTAGACAGATATTCACTTTGAAAAGCCACTGAATATGTTTAACCAAATAAACAGAAAAAATACGCAGCCTTAAAACCTGTAAACACACACTGAACTTTAATTTTATCAAGGGCTAAGTGTTCAGAATGAGATGAGATCACATTCTCATTTGTGAGTCGTTGAGTTCACGGTTCATCAAAACACGATTGGGTTTAATGAACAAGTTCTGCAGTCAAGACGTTTTCGCTGTTGAACAGTTTCATGTCCAGAATCAGATCTGCATCGTCTGTTTATACCTTTGAGGCTTGTGCCAAAACGAACTTTTGTAAGTCAGTCTTTGAATCAACGATGGAGTATTAGGGCCACATTTAAAAAAAAACAAGTCCTTTTGTTTGCCAAACATGACATTTTCTGAACAGTATAAGACATTAATGCCTTAAAAAAACCAAGCATATCTAATCCCTTCAACACATTATATGTCAACTGGGAGACGACCGATAGTAACGACCTGATGTTGCCACCTACTGAGGTAGCAGAGGTAGACATGCTTCTGTCAATAATTTGATTTTTGCCCAGAGCTTGTAAACCGAGACAAAACAAGAAATCTTCAAACTGTGGCATGCCCCAGGGATCCGTCTCAGGACCACTGTTATTTACACTTGATATTAAATCACCAAATCTAACTACCATCATAGCTTGACTGTAAGCCCTGTAACTTGCTCTTAAGTCTGGTTGTGCCGACTCTGGCTGCTTTGCTACGATTACAACGATAGCAAAAGCAGCAGCAGCTTCAGACGGAGTTAATTCAAGCCACAGAAAGTCAAAGATTCTGCATTTTGGCTTGACATAAAGCTGATGTACTTGGTCATGCAGGTTGTGTGATATTATTATAAAACAAAAACTGCATTTCACTTCATCTCAATCTGTAGCCATGCTTTTAGAGCTGTGCAGTTATCGCTTCTCCATCTCCATCCCTGGTTGCAAGCGCCTAAAACTTGAGGTTGTCGTCTTCATATCTCTGTTCTCTGTGGTGGTCGGGGGATGGAATTACGCCCTATTCTGAAGATATGGCTTGTGCTGTAGCTCCATAGAGTGTCCAATAGGGGCTGCCACTATTTTAAGAGAAATATTGCTCAGTAATAATAAAAGAAATGCAGGATGAAGGAGCACACACTTGAAATGATTCAAAGTCTTAGACATGTGACTGTAAGGACTTCTAAGGTCTTCAAGGTTTATATTCTTTAAACTTGTCTAACATTATGAATTTTAATTTGACAAAAATCTTTACAAGTCATGTGGGTTTATTTCAAATGTAGAAAATAATGATTGCTTCTGTAGTTCCAGTATGAATAATGAGGAGGGAAAGTCCTTGAATGTGATTTTATTTATCCAACAGAAAGATGTTCACTGTGAAAATATGTGACCTCATCAGACCTGCTCTAACTTTCCATAATGAATCCAAATCTATTAAAATTTCACCTTCACTTCCTGTCTGTCAGAATAAGAGCGACTGTTTTCTGCATGAGGAGGGAAAACCGCGTGAAGAGAATCGTATGTCGTCACCGAGGAGGAGCGAGATGTCAGTGTTTTTCACAGGTTAACTCGGCCTCCCTGAGCCGGGCGCAGCAGGCTGAGATCTGAGAGTTTGACCGTCTAAATGCTGACATCAAAGCAGACTTTCACAAGCCATGTGACATCATGGCGTGGTACACCGGTCACACGCAGATGGTATTGACCTCAGCTACATAACCTCCGAGTACGAGAGGCCAAAATAACAGAGCCGCCTGTGCAGAGCGCGGTTGAGGCCGGAGCATGACGCAGCGTTTTTAAAGGATAAAACAAGCTGCAGATTTATCCTCACATGTCCTTTTGTGCACAACTTTAGTCATTTATTAAATATGACACAAAAAGAGAGAGAGAGAGAAGCTGAAAAATTTCTCTGCGGTTCTCTCTCCGGAAGGCGATGTTTTTTCTGCCCATAAACCGGCTGCCTTTCACTGCAGGACCTTGAAAACACGAGAGTCTTGAAAGGCCTTTTTCAGAGGCACAAGGTCTCTCTCTGCAGATGGTTTTGTGCTGCGGAGAAAAGCAGTGATGGGAGAGGGAATGCTTCAGCTTTCTCCTCCAACAGAAAGTCACATATTTCTAAAAGAAAGGCCTTTCGCAACAAGGCTGCAATCATGTTTCTTTGAAAAGGCAGCCTGCCCTTTGGCCTCAGATATCTCTTCTGGGCGAGCGAGGGAAGGGAAGGAGAGGGAACAAATGAGAAAAGGTGTATTGACAACCTCTTCCTCTCACTCTTTTTCTCCCCCTCACCTTTTCCTCCTCATGCACAACCTCTGTCTCTGTGTGCTCTTCCTTTGGAGGCCGTGTCAGCGTTATCAGTGTTTCCATCCATTATACATCCAGCCATCCATCCGTCTGCGGTATTTGAGCAGGAATTAGCCGGAGCATTGTTTCCCACGCTGTACATGGAGGGGTTAACAGAGCAGCGTAGGAGTAGTTTCGATCCGTCAGGTAGGTCAGGTTTCTCTTAACATGACTGCATACCTGTGTGAAACTCTGTGTGCGTGTGTGTGTGTGGCTGTGCACATGTGTGTGCATGTATTTGCATGCTTGTATTGAGAGACATAAAAAAAGGAGGTAAGGAATCCAATCATCCTCAACACGGCCGGCCCAAACGGCAAACAGAACTCAACGGCCAATGAGATCTCTGTATGTTCACCGGTTCACCTGAGACAGGAGACAAGAGGCAGGAGGCTCTGCTGACCTGTGCAGACACTTTGTATGGAGACAGGTTAGAAAATATGAGCAGAATCAGGGAAAATGTTTTGGAAAAGAAAGATTTTAAATATAAAATCTGAGAAGTTAGAATTTATTTTTTAAAATGCTGGTTTGATACGATTATAAATCAAGCTGCCCTTTTCTGATTTTCAGAATCCCACCGGTCATGTCTGTTTAAATTTTGGATATATATATTTTGAAGTATGTTTAAAACTTTTGTACAAAATGTTTAAAAAAAAAAGAAGAAGCAGATCCTCAGTAGACTAGTAAAGTTTAGTAAAGGCTGGAGGTGTAATTTTGTTTTTTTGTGCAAGAAGAGTTGATGCACTAAATGGTTTAAAGGCTACAGAAGTTGACAAATCAACTGACCCTTCCTTTATCCAGTAAAACACTGAATATACTTGACTTTTTCTGCAGAAAACATTAAGAATTACAAACACCATTTGACAGGAAAAACAAATACAATCCCATTTTTTAAAAAAAAGTGAAGACTAAGAACTGAATTTGATGTTTGCAGATTATTTTAACTCCATGTTTAGATGAAATAGTGCCAAGACAACATAGGATACTGAAACTGAAAATGTTGTTAATTCATAAAGATTTTAGTTTAAGATTAAGTTTAATTTGAAATTGATGTGAGTTTTACATCAACTGGGGTGACAATATCTGAATCCCCGAAAAGAGGACAGGACTACATGGGGGCGGAGTCACAGAGTCGCACGAAGTTAATTTTTAGAGTTTTTCAGGTCGGATCGAGTGTCTTTTACGGGCTTCTAACTCAGTAAGTCCGCGTAACACAAATTTGAAACTTCCATACAAAACCCTGGACATTTTAAGGATTTTATTAACTTCTCAGACAAGGCCGTACAGCCCCCCAAAAAAGAGGACATGTCCGGGTAAAAGAGGACGTATGGTCACCCTATGTTAACCAATCAAACAGGTAATAAGTTTAGGAGTATTAAAAAACAGCTAGAGGAACATCTCCCAACTAATGAGTTTGATTTACAACAGGTATAAAAAGGACATTCAGAGAGGCTGAGTCTCTTAAAAGGAAGATGAGTGAGGTTCATCACCCTGATCTTTGAGACCTCAGGCAGCACTGCTTTAAAAACAGACATGATTCTGTAGTGGAAATCACTGCACAAGCTCAAATTCACCTCCAAAATACATTTTCTGTGAACACTGTTCATCACCGCATCCACAAATGCTGGTAAAAACTGAACCATGCAAAAACACAAACCCAAAATTTGTCACATTTGGAAACCTGGACCTCACACCTCAGTGTTCCTCAGTCTAAAAAGTAGAGCAATCCTTCTACTTGAGGATGTACTTGAACATCAACCGTATGCCAAACCTTACCACCAAAATAGATCAGAGTCAAGAGTGGGATGAGAGTTAATCTTGGCGGCAACAAGCAGCTTTAAGAAGTAAGACTCAGTCTGTAAGATCGCTGTCCACATATTTTTGGACAGACAGTAACAGCTAAATATCCTGAAGGCTTCTCATAAAGTTCATATTAGGATGAGAAGCACAGAGAGAGAGAGAGAGAGAGAGAGAGAGAGAGAGAGAGAGAGAGAGAGAGAGAGAGAGAGAGGGATGAGCAGCATGAACCGTTTATACAGTTCACTCTGCAGACAGGAGCGACAGACTGAGCTGCTTCGAGTGTGATGTTCTTCAGATTTTTAACACACTCTCTGCAGTGACAGGTGCTCCATCACACTGACTCATCCTTTGTTTATGTTTGCAGCTCTTCACAGGAAATGTTACAGACAGAAAGTTGAAGCTCTGAAAAGCAGCAAGCATCATCAAGCATCCTTGCTCCGACGCCATGTTTTGTGCAAGGACAGTTTGAGTACCCGCAATCAGCCACACACGCATACATACACTCTGTGTGTGTGTGTGTGTGTTCGCTCTTTGTCTCTTACACTCACTCAGACACTCGGAAGAACACTGACTGAATAGTGCTGCGTCCTCTTTGTTCAAAAATCTGTCTTTTCCTTTGATGAACACGTGATGAACGTCGTACATATTTCTATAACTTTGGGTCTTTTTTTTAATTTTGGTTTTGAAAACAAAGTCAGCCCTGCACGTTCTGAGTGTTTTTAACAGTGTTACATCAGTCTCTCCATGATTTTTAAGTGTGTTATGATATTTTTCACTCCAGCTGCTTCAAATTAGGGCCTTTAAGTATGTATTATGTCTGTGATTGTAAGTGTTGATCCTGGTAACATTAAAATAGCTTGAGTTCACTCCTGTTAAATCAAATGCTGCACGCTGGTCAAGTCAGTAAAATTATGAGCGTACACCTCCAGATTCAAGTCTTTAAAACTTTAGGGCATAAAAGTTGATGGAAAGGGACTTTTATTTTAACTTTTTGTTGGCGTCAGATCCATGTCAACAACTTCTCCTATTTGAGCTCAAATGAGGATTTTTTCCTTAGATCAAACATGGAAGTTAGGGTGTCTAAACAAAATTAAACTGTTGCTATATGACAAATATGATAGTTTGCAAAGGATTGTTGAACATCCCAAACCTACTGAATAATAAATGTCTCCTCAGCAAGCTTTAGTTTGTCAACAGAAATAGATTTCGTATGCATATTTCATTACAATATCAACACATATGTTTTTAAGTCTGACCAAGTGTTGCATATGTGTTGTAAATTTGCAGAGTCCTGTAAGTGGACACCACCAATTAGCCTTAAAATATCAGGATTTCTGTCATGATGAAGTTAAGAGTTCTTTTATACATTTATTTGCATATGTGATGAAGGGCAGTTTTTGAAATTAAAACTCTAGATTTCCTCTTTCACTCTCTCTAAAGCTCCACTGAAGTTGGCACTCTCTCCCTTTATTTACTTCCTCCAAAGACAGACACAACAACATGGCTCCCAGCCTCACTGAAGAGTCTGTCCCAAATAAAGCAACAGTTTTGTCAATGATATTGAACTGGTTCCAACCTTGACCGCAAATCTCACTCTTCTGCAAAGATTACTCAAGGACAACTAAAAGCAGCAGCATGGCCAATCTCTTTCAACATCATGCAGCCAAGTGGGGGAAATGTGCCTCACTATGAGATGCAGAAGACCACTCCAGTCTGCAAACACCTGCCAATATAAGAGGAATCATTTTCCCACTGTTATTGCATATCTTTTGATATCAGAAAAATTTGGTTAAACTGGGAAAAAATCTGAGATTAAGCCTAGATCACCCTGCCTCAGTGTCAGGTAACTGAAATTATTTTACACTGAGATGCAGAAAGTGTAAAATCAGTGTATCACAGTTGGAGAATTGTGAAAAAACAGATTGCGCTCATGATAGCAAAGTAAAATTTCTGAATGGAGTGCATACTTGGACTATGGTTCCCAAGAAAGCGGCCCAGTGACTCAAAGTGAGACCGCAATTTACTAAATGAAGACTGTTAACTATGGACGCAAATTTGTATCATTATTCAAATGAAAATAGATTAACAGAAATGCATTTGCATTTTCAGAATGTACCTGCACTCCTTGACTCATAATTAAAATTAATTTATATCAACCAAACTGCAATTTATTTTTATTTTTCAAAACTGATCATTCTGTAACTTCATTCAAATGTAAAAGAAAAAGCCATTTGAGATTTAATTTTCAAATTATGCCCAGGCAAATATGGACCAAAATATAATTTGAAATGTCTGAAAATATCTGAAAATTCAAATGCATTTGCAGTATGGATTTTTCGTTCCAAAGTCAAAACTGCAAAATTTGACTCAGAAATAAAATGAAGAATAAATTATACAAACTGCATTTTCATTTTCTTATTTGAGCTGCACATTTCGTAACACAATTCAAAAGAGAAACCAAACGGGCAATTGCTTTTTCATTTTTATGTCTGCCTGTCGCTATCCGAACTGCGCAAGTGCAAATTTACTTCACCTTAAAAACTTTATTTAAACTACCGATCGATTTCAGAAACCAGCTGGTGATGTGACAGGCTAGCTAGCAGGAGGCTCCAGAGCTAATGCAGAGGCATTTGCCAGAGCTCCTGCCCAGCACGATGAGACCTTTTGGGCCACAGAGAGCGCCACCACCAGGTCAAAATTATGGTTTACATAGACTTCTATTCATTCATATATATTTATGCAAAAATGTGTGCAGCCCCCTGCTGGCCAGTAGAAAGAATGCAGGTTTGAGACACTCCTGCATCAGTTTATTTTTGGAAACCAAGAAACTACAAGACTGTTTTCGGTAAAAATAAAAACTCAGTTTGAAATCACTTGCAGGTCCTGAATGTTTCATCGTTTGCTTTAACAGCGCCCCCTGTTTGAGACATGCAGCTAAATAAAAATGCGAAACACAGGTAGCTTTACATTCCTCAAATTCCTGCAGGCTGATTTATTCCAGGAGAAAATAAATTCAGGACATGTCGGTGATGATTTAACTCTGGACTGAAGCGTTGTTATCATGGATGTTTTTCTGCAGAGCTCGTTCACGTAGGAGCGCACACACCTTGTTTAATCCCTGCCATAGCGGGTGGCTGTGCAGGCGGATGCTGTTTAAACAGAGCGGGCCCTTGATGTGGGGGCCTCCAGGGGCCGGGGTTTGTGTGTGTGTGTCTTTCACCCTGGATGTGTGTGTGTGTGCCTCTCTGAGTTTTCTGGCCATGGGAACAATGGTCCTTTAGAATGAGAGGTTACTGGTGCACTGACCCCTGGCAAATAAGAGCCATGTTCTGGCATTCCAGGCCTGATTGGCACTTTGAGCCTGCAGAGAGCTCAAAGGAGACACAGGAAATGTGACCAGTGTAATTGGTTATATATTAGCCGAGCATTCGAGCCCGTTTAAATGACGGAACATTCTTCAGTGACACTTAGGTGGATGGGGCCGGGATTCCTCTACTGGGAGAGAGAGAGGACAAACAAGGGGGGAAAAGAGAGGGGGGACGAGGGAAGGTAAAAAGGGCGAGGAAGACGGAAAAAGACTTGTTGTGAAGTTCTTCAGAGGGGAAGGGGCCTTTAAAAAGGAGAGTGACCATGACCACCATGCTGGGGTTGAGTAATCTCTCTTGTGTTTACGACCAATGTGTCGACCGACGTGAGTGAAAGAAAAGGGCAGATATCTTTCGAATAATTTAGTCCAGTTAAGTTTTTAGTCTCAGTAAATTTGGGATCTGAGAATATCAAAATCTCTGAACATTAGTGGTGATCTTTTGAGCTCTTGTTCTGTCATGATGAAGTTGAGCTGTAAAAACTTTGTTGACAGTCTTTTGGTCAAACTTTTGTTTTTACTTGAATCTGCCAGTAAACTTTTTACATTCCCATGTGTAGATCACTGCAGTCTGGCGGTGTTTACATATTTTTTATGTTTGTCAGTCTTTTCTTGACACAGTAAACCTTCTACCAAATTCCACCACGCTTATCCGTTGACACAAACCTACAATTCTCCCTGGAACACCTCTACACTGGGTTTCCCTAAAAGCTCCTGTGAGAAACTTTCAATTTGCATCAACTTTTGTACCCCTTGTGGAGAATTAAGTCTTTGCTCATTTTGTCCTCAACACGCTTATTATTCATTCTAAATTTTGCTTGTTAAATTTATGTAAAACAAAGCTGTCTCTTCAGCCTCTGGGAAAACACTTATCCCCTCGCACTGGTTTTAGAATTGCCGGTCTTGTTGCTGGGGGTCTTGTTTGATTTTGCATATACAGAAAAGAGATGAAATTATTGAAAAAGAATATTTTTTACTGATACAATTACAAAAATACAAACAATAAAAGCTGCTTTTATCAAGTGTTAACATGCAATCTCCATTATCTCCATCTGCAGAGAACCAAGCTATCATTTTAAAACCTTTCACAGCACATTAGAGGGTTTCTACCTCCAAACTTGGCTTGTTTATCCAGCTGTTTGATCCCTAAATTTGAAGTATTTCCCATATTTGCTTCTTCAAATAACTTGGAAGGTAATGAAATTATGGAAAAGTTATTACTGCATTAACATTCTCACATATGTAAGGCTTTAAAGATGAAGACTTCGTTTTTTCACACGACAAATTCAAGTGATTAATTCATGTGTCCAAAGGCTTTCGTACTAATCATGATTTAAAATTATTAAGATCTTGTCAAAAATCTATCTATCAAAAATATTCATGCAAATCAGACAGGTCAAAAACTCTTTCTGCCGATCTGAGTCCAAAGATGAGGCTCATTGATAAAAATAGGATCCCATCACCTGGATTTCCCCCCGTGGTGATAAACGGTGCTGTCAGGTCATGATATGTTCAGCTCTCTCCCTCTGAAGCGTGGCGAGATGGGAGGGGCTGTGTGTGTGTTTGTGGACAGGGGTGGGAGGGGATGCCAAATCAGGGGCTTGACCTTTGACTTGGGGTGCTTTGGTCGCAGTTCATGAAGGCTTCATTCAAGTCCTGAGTGCCTTTGTGCTCTGAATCTGAGCATCCTATTCTGCAGGAAAACCCCATTTGTGCGTAACGAGTATCTGTCAAAATAACAACAGTGGTCTGAGCTTGAAAGCCTGGAGTGTAGATCTACAGCTGAGCGTCAGAGGATAAGATTAATATCCCCAGAGGCTGAACCAGAGGCAGCAGAGCATCCACACCAGCCTGCATTCCTCTCTTATCACGGACGGTATGAGTGATTGATGCAACCGATGTTACATCAGCCATCAGTCTGAGGATGCCTTCAGGAAGCTTTGGCATTACGGCTGTTGAAACTTTATTTATGCCAAAAGTCATCGTATCTGGACAAGAGGGCAACCAGAGACGAGACATTTATCTGACAAAAGAAGCCCAGAGAGAGCTTGTGAATTATAGCTTGTCAAGCTCTCCTCTTGAGTATTAAAAAATTGACTTCTCATAAGTCCAGACAGTTTCTTCTACACATAGAAAATCCTGCAGCAACAATCTCGACTCCCATGCACAGGCTGTCAAATGCCAAATGAGCTAACACACCAGGCATGATGAGCACAGACACAGGTACGAGTTTGAGCTACCATAAATATACTGCCGGGCTGAAAAAAACAGTGTGTTAGGCTCTTGCACAGTAAGAGAGATTGTTCATCTGAAGTTTACGTGAACAAATCTCAAAAAGCTACAACACCACACTCTCAGAGGTCAAGTTCAGTGACTGAGTGATGACGGTGCAACAGGACAAAATCAATTCAGCTACTTTTCCTCTGCTGTCTGCATGTTGCAGCTTTGCAGGGACAGCAAACACACACAAATGTATACACACAGGAAAGCCGCATGCTATCCTGCTAAAACCAGGATCAAGAATTGATGAGAGGGTGACAAACTAGCAGACCAGTTTAGTTTTGCTCTGCTTTAACACCACAAGATTCTAAATTTGTATTTTATTGCCAAGAGTTGGCACAATCGACACAATAAGCACAAGCTGTGTGTGGTGAGCACCTGTTTTTCAGTCTGTGTGGAGACCTTTTACTTAAATTCGTACAGACAGGTGAGTCCTCTATAAATTTAGCCTATAGCCTACAGCTGTCATGATTGCAGAAACGAGCAGAGAAGACCGAAACAAGGTTTGAACCAGGCTGTAAGCATGTTTTTAACATGGGGCTCTACAGGGGTTGACTCTCTGTAGGAGACAGCCTCTTGTGGACACTTGAGGAACTGCAGCTTTTTGGGGACTTGCAGCAGGTTGCAGCTTCTTTGTTTAATTATGAGGTTGGAAAAGAAAGTGAGAGTTGCTCCAGAGATCACATGCAAATCCTGCCCACCACACACACACACACACACACACACACCTTATGATATGGGCAAATGCATACACTCATATCTTGTTGTAAACTAACTGAGGGTTGTCAGATTGTGTCTGTCAGGACATTAAATCCTATGGGAGCCATGAGCATCCTGTCAAAATGTTCCACCCACTCGCGTCAACACAGAGACCATCTTTGGGTTTGCCGAGGTTCAGATCTGACAGCCTTAAAACAGTTGGTGAAACTGGAAACCATCACGATGATTCACTTCTGTTTTTTTTTTTAGTTATTTTGACAGGAAAGAAGTTTAAAAAACATTTGAAATATGGATGAAGCAGTAATCAGTGCTGTGCTAAGTTAAGAACTTTATGTCTTATCTAATTAGCATTAACTCACTCAAAATGGTCTACTATAAAACTTTGACATGAGGCATCTAGATAAAAGGTATTAAACAACCACAGGACATCCAGGAAACAGGGTTCGATAGTTTCAACCAATCATTGCATCAAGTAAAGACTGAAAGAAGCTAAATTACATTTCAGTAGATCTTTGGTAGCTCATCACCTGCAGCTTTCACCATCCACACCTTCACTCTGAGAATCTCCTGCAGCATCTCAAGACTCAAACCCTCATCCCGATGATGCATGGACCTCTATGTGCACGGCCTGCACAAACAAGTTTATTTTAACCGTTCCACCACATATTTCTGATAAACACTGTCTTCATTCACATCATGACTCTCACCCCAGCTATGTTCTATATCTGCCCACCAGCGTGCACACATGTACACACTCTCCCCGTCCTCTCCGAGTGGCTGTACGGAGGGCGAGTTGATTCATATCCTGGTTGTTCACCATGAGAACCAGAGAACATTCCTCTGCATTCCACGCTGAGGTGCACACCAGGGTTGAGAGGACGAGACAGGCATGTCTGTGGATGTCAGTGACTCACTGTCAGACCACTCGGATCATCTGTCTTCATTCAAAGAGGCCGACACAGTTGGCACTGCTTGGAGCTGGAGCTGGGTCGGGAATCTGCATAATTTTTCATCCTCCTGTAAAACCCTCAGGGGCCGTGTTTGAAACGTGAAAACAGTTGGACGGTCGAGGGTATCGATCCGGCAGGAGGAGCCGGGGGCTGCAGGAAAAGCTTGTTGGTAAGTGAGTTAAAACTCCGGGTCCATGTGATCAATCAGGTTGATCTGATGGGCTGAGACAAGATGTCTCCTGAGTGACCGACACACACACAGCAGTGAATAAAGAACACACTCGCAAACACAGACGCAGGGATTACACAGGCATTTAACAAGCTCTTTGTGCAGGTCAAAGTTGACCGCAGGCCCCTCAGGAAAAAGGAGAAGGGGGGAGGCTGGAGAGGCAACAAAGGGGAGAGTTGAGGAATGCGGGGGTACAGGGGGAGCAGAGACACTGACTGAAACAAATAAATCTCAAACAGACGTCCCAGATGGATTCCTTCCTCTCAAACATCCCTGTTTGGTTACTTCGCTGGCATCTACATCCTCTTAAAAACATTTAAAGCACGGCTGTGGATCTGCGTCATTTTGTTGTCGTTTTGTTTCGAAGTAGAAAAACAGATTTTTTTTTTAAAAAGAGCTCAGAGGGATCAGGTAGTGTCATCTATCACGTTTCATCCTGCCGAGGACACTTTAAAGAGCAGCAGTCGAGACAAAGACAAGATCCATTTAATGCTCCTGAACTGTGTAATAGATGTCAAAGAGCAGCAGCTCTCAGTCCAGAGAGGAGGGACCACCCAGAAACCCCCAGACCCAACCACTCGAGGTCGGCAGAGGACTCTAAGAGAGGTTTAACCTGCAGACAAATCATCATTTCTTTGTGTCGTTTATCCACAAAATGTTTGAAAAACCTGTCCTCTTCCTTCCAAAGAACTGAACTGAAAAGGAAATCTTTCAGCCGTTTCAAAAACCGGTTTCCATCACAGAAATCTTTGCAGTATTTTTAAAGTCACATCCATTCTCTCCCTGCTGATTCATTAGAACTCGACAAAGGCTCTCCATTTTTACAAGTGCTCATACAAGGACGAGGGAAATTATAAAGCATGCATGGGTTGATTTCTGAACACCTGACTACAAAGTCTCTGATGCAAAAAGTCTATTAATTCACCCTCGCTCTGCAGAAAACATGGTGAATCTTTACATCCTGCAGCATGAGAAGACTATATGCACTCAAAACCACGCTGGCTCCTAAAGCCGACATGCAGCAACAAGAGAAAAGTAATTTGTGGAGAATGAAGTGTATTTGTTTTTAAATACTTTTCTGTCAGACTCACAACCCTGAAGCGAAAATCAGTCACAAAGCTGAAACAATTAAGAAAATGAGCCTGAAATACAGTGAAAGCAGCTGAGAGGGGATCTGAAATTATCTTCAAAGACACACTTTGTATGGTAATGACCCGCTCAGAGTTTAAGGGAGGTCTTTCTGCCTCGCAGCTACATATCAGGTCACTCCAGGTCAAGGAGGAATAACTGGACCAACAGCGCCCTCTAGTGTCTGCAGTTGATTAACGTCTGACGTGCTAGGGGAGGCTCATTCAGGGAATCACCGAGGGGCGGCAGGCCTCTCACAGGACAGGAGGAGGACAAACGGACGGTCCAGAGCAGAGCGAGCGCAAAGATCAGCAGGAGGGAGAGTGTGTGTGCTCACAACAGCCTACAGGTGGAGGTGTTGCACACTGAAGAAACACCCCTCAGATACCTCCAATATGAGTTTAAATCATAAGTGCAATATAGCTGGTCAATAATTTGAATTTCCAGTATTTTCTAACTAAATAAACATATTCAGGTTTGGTGTTTGTGTTTCTCTTCCTTCAGTAATGAGTACATTTGCTGACCGCTGTGGCCTCTCTGTGAGTGCATGCAGAGAATTTACCTGCAGGGATCAACACTCTGCGTTATTACTTATGCATGCATGTGTAGCTTAAACACACAGTGGAAATTGCTGTCACTTGTGTGTGTGTGTGTTTCCCTCAGTGTAAATGTGTGTATTTCAGTGTGCAGCTACACTTCCTCGGCTTTTTTTTTTTTGATCACTCTCTGACCTCTGAGCCTCAGTCTAGCATTCCTGCGGCCGTCCTGTCTGAGAAAAGAAAACAGTCTTTAAAACCCGCTGCTCCCTGTCTTTACCGGAGCTAAAACTCTGACACTCAAGCAGGAGTTCAGGTGTGTGTGTGTGTGTGTGTGTGTGTGTGTGTGTGTGTGTGTCTGAGTGTGGGTGTTCAGCTTGTCTAACTATTTCCAGAAAACAAACAGCTGTACTGATATTTTGGTGGAGAGACAGACATGGACAGACTTCCTTTAAGCAATGTCTGGCTGTGCAGAATAAGTTTTTCAATATTTGACAAGTTTAAGCCTCTCTCAGCAAAACTTGGTGAAGAGGAAAGCATTTATATCATAGATTTGTAGATTTTGTCAATCAGTTTGGGGAACTCTTTAGTTGTTTTGTGTAGGGGAGGAGTAAATTAATCGACACAGTGATATGTCATCGTCCTGACCTGAACAGTTATCAATATGCTGAGACGAAATATTGATATTTCAAGCAAATAAACAAGACCCTCCAAATAGATTTTCCAGTAACACTGACAAACTTCTCCATTACTTGGTGGCGCTAATGTCAAGAATGAGTCAAAGGGTCAGTCAGAAGAAGACAGCAGGAAGAAGGAAAGCTGCTTGTGCTCTTTATGTTCAGACAAGAAGAAAGATAGGAGATGCTCTCTAGTCTGCACAGATTTACCCTCATCTGTGGTGATAAACTCCACATGCCATGGAGTCCAATGTGATGATTTCCACTTATCAAGTGCTACAAATTTGCATAATGCAAAGACTTACAGAGGGGCTTACACTAGAAGTTGTATTGAAGGCTTCAGAGAAATGGAAGCTGACTGAAACAGACTAAAACAGCAAACGTCACGGTGAATATAACCATGTTCATCGCTTCATGTCAATCAAACCCAGCTCCTCTTTTCATGCTGGTTTTAACATCATTATATGGATGTCAATGATGCAGCTCTAATCTAGACCCAGAGGTCTTTGCTGATGCTCTCCCTGACTCGGACTTCCATGTACTCACATAAAACAGAATGGAGGTGCACTCTCCCTGCATCAGGCTTTGACATCCCACATATGCACATGGAAGGGCAGGGAGCTCATACCACCAAATATCAACGTACTGCAAGCAAATAGTCAAATGTTTGGACTAAAGCAGTCCTAAATGAGTTAAAAGAAAATCAAAACCATCTGCTCATGAAGAAAGAAAACTTAACTACAAGCTGTGTTTGGTCAGAAAGCAAGCAACAGCAAACAACAACTGAGGTAAGTGTTGTTTGGATCACATGCTCAGGCAATAAACAAACCAGTGGCATAACTCTTAAAACTTGGCGCAGTTTGTTACAGAATGATGGACTCAGACTTCAGTATTAACAACTACATTAGGGCAGTAACAAAGTCAGTCAAACAAAAGTTAAGGATTTGAGTCTCAACAGGACCTGAAAAAACGGAGATTTGATGACCATGACAGTAGCTATGTTTACGTGGGCACAAATAATCGCCCGGTCGGAATAAAGATGCGTCACGGGAACATGTCGATCGGAAGATTTTGATCCAATTCGGATCATCCGGAAAGAAATTGTATTCCGATCGAGAGGCGCAGTTTATGCCGGTCGTTACTCCGAAACGCGTCCATGATAACACTTACTCTGAACATGACTCTCTTACCCGATTCGGTCTTCACTCTTTAGCCTTTGGCTTATTTATTGAGGCCAGTAAAGGAGGTTTCATCATTAACACTGGAATAAAACACAACCAGAGGTGCCGTGCCTGCTCCTCAGATAACAAGGCGTACATACAGCGTAATGATGTCACATCTGTACACATAGAGCAACCTTTGACAAAACAGTAAAGTAAGTAGGCAAGGGCGCCATCTAGTGACAACATTTACCAGGGGGAAAACTCCTGAACTGGATGGGGTGAGCCACTACCGCGTTTGTTGTAGTCAATGCAATTCTTCTTCTGCTGTTGTTTTAGCAAAATCAGACAACTCTGTGCATGTCCAAATGCTTCTAATCTGAATAAAATTTGGTGCATGGTGCATTACGTCATGATCGGATCATTTGATTTTGATCTGATCCCTCAAATTTTTAATCGGATCAAAAAAATTTGCCCATATAAACGTGGCTAGTGTCCCAGTTAGACATCTTCAGCTGATCCTGAACTCTGCAGCTTGAGTCCACACTAAAACCAAGAAAGTGGATCACAGCAGTCCAGTTCTGAGGTCTATACCCTTTGGTTTAAGGCCAAAATACATCAGTAATCTTCATATATGATAGTCATTTAATATTTAAATACCCATGTAAATTAAACTGCACAGAACTGTGACACTTTTCCTCAAAAATAAACTTCTCATGGCTTGATTGAAACAGAAAGAAACTGCTTACCTCAAAGCTGAGTTCCTGATGCTTAGAGGTCCAGATTACTCCAAATGTTGTGTTTAATTTAGGAGCCATGTGGTCCACCAACTACACTCTTCCTGCTCACCTCTGACCTTTTAACACCTGACTGGATCACCTGCCCAATGACCCTGCAAAACAGGCTGGTATCGCCACCTGGTGACCAAAGTGAAAACATGTTGTCACAAAAACATTCAGAAAACAAATAACATGCATACCTACAGACTTTTTGGTCAATATTATCTTTCACTTTGCAGCAAATCTTGCAAATTTTTAAGAAACTTTGACAAAGACAGATAAATTGATGTGCTGGTGGGCGGCACATTTTCCCTTCCCATAAAATTATCCACAGATTACACAAAAAAATTACAGTATTACTCTATTTGTTTGGATTGTGCTCTCATTTGTCTAACAACCCCCTGCTCGGCAGAGAGGAATTGTTTTGTGGGTGTTTTTGCGCCATCCTGCGGTTTCTCTGTTACTCCCCCCTGCGTGACACACCGCAGCCTTTTAATGGTTTAGCCGTCATGAGTGTGCAGTAGCTCCTCATAGCTTCAGGATGCCGTAATAGTTAACCTCACTCCCTCACGCCTGTCCGTCTGAGGGAGGTGTACGGGAGGTGATGTCAGTGGAAACATTCGGAGGGAAGTGAGTGATTCAGGTCTGTCTCAGCTGGGGGGGTGAGGGCTGAGCTCATGGGACCAAACCCTTGATTCCTTAGAGTTTTGAAGTTTCAGTAAATTCAGAGACACTGAGGCAAGTTTGCACCAAAGAAAAACAAACACATTAACTTGAGACGTGTCTTCTGTATAAAGACTCTAGTGTATTTGTCTAAAAGTGAATCAAATTATTGTATTCATGACATTTGAAAAAAAACATAACTTGAGTCAGTGAGCCTCATGGGCATTTTAGAGTCACCAGTTGAAGCTAACCACACACTTTGGGGTCTTAAAGGGATATTTGAAGTGGGATTGAATAAGTTTAATGTCATTAATCAATGTTTGAGCCACAATGAATGACAGTCTGCTCATCTCTTTTAATGAGAAGCTGCCAGGAGAGCCTGCACTCAAGCTAGGCTACATTTTTTAACAGTTGGGGTCGAGTTTACCAGAACATCTAAGTTTTTCTATCTATTTTTGCATATTTGCAGATGAAACACGTGCAAGTTTCTAGCGAGACAAGATTGTTGTGATCTGATCCTTAACAAGATTATCCACTGATTGGAAACACCTCATTCCTTCACTTGTTGTTGGAAACGTAGCTTCCTGTGGAGCTTGCATCATGTTTTATTCTGCTGTTTTGTTACTCTCATTGGTTCGTGATGAATGTTACAGACAGAAAATTCATCCAATCACCCTCCGAATAGTTTTATGAATCATCCTGCTCTAAGCAAACACATGGTCTATGGAGGGTTGCCCAGAAAGATGTGAAATAGTCTATCAGGTCCAGGATGTCTGCCTCTGCGTTTAGGAGGAAGCAGGAAGCTCATTGCTTACATTACACTCTGACATTTATGATGATGTTCCTGGTGGAGGAAAATACCCACTAAAGGATGTGCTGAGTTAAAGTTCTGTGGATCCGGTGATCAGGAGGATTGGTTCCTTTGTTTTTCTCTTCAGCTGTACAATCGAAAATTATCCAAAATAATTCTTCATCCGCTTCTCGACATGGTTGACGTTTTGGAAAAGTACTGAGAGCTTTTTGGACTCCAGCCTGTTCCAGCTCACAATGAGAATACAGAGCTGTGCTCTATGTTTAGCCTTGAGTTTGTTTAAAACACATACAGCACATGAGTGAATGAGGTGTGTACATGGTCCAGGTTTGTTTTTGTAGGTTTTCACATATAGTCCAAGTTCTGTTGATTCTGGACGGACACTTTTAGCTCAAGGTTTCTGGAACTGGGTGTTGCAAAAACCTGTTCTCAGATAGAAAAGCAAACCCGCGTACTGCTGCAGACTTGGTTTTACGAAGTGAAAGATTTGGTTTTCAATGTCCAGAGCTTTAGAGTCTCTGGTCCAATAGCTGCTCTGTGTTGCAGGTTTTAGATCGTCTTTATTCATGCACAGTTGAATAAATGGGAATATTGTTTTTACTACATACACTGGAAGAGATTAACCCACACAATTAGCTTTTTACTTTTAACATACTCTAAATACTAACAAACATTCAGTTTGAAAATGTGTTGGCAGGAAATCTTTCATGCACAACATTGGATATCATAGAAGCAACTTTTTCCTACAGGTGTCCGGTTATAGTGGGATAACAGAGTTGACATTTTTTGGGCGATTTTCTTTCATTCCCTCTGCTTTCAAGCTCCTAAACACAGACCACACCCATTTTAAATGACTTCTATTTAGAGGACATTGTTTATTTACTCTTATTTATTGACCTTGTATTTCTATTTTATAACTATTTTTATAGTTTTTGCATTGCCTTGTTTTTACCTCACTTGTTTTTTTTAATCTCTTCTCCTATCTTGTTTTATCTTGCTCTACGATTTGTATATGTAGGCTACATATAAAGTCCTGACATCTCCCTCTGTCCCATGCTTAAACATGTTTACTTGACTGACTGTAAAAATGAATGAATATGCACTGGAAAAACACAAATGAATTTCCCCCTGTGGAATAAATAAAGTTGTCTGAACTGAAATTAATAATAATAAAAAAAGCAAGAACTGTTACTTGGAGTAGAAATTAAAATTATAATGATTTGCTTCTCAGTATAACATGACCATAAATATCTGCCCTGAGTTTTATGGTTTTCTACGAGAACATTGTTATCGTTGTACTGTAAAGTTTTCTCTGCTCATGTTACAGTCTAAATCTTCTAGTCATCCATTTTATTGCTGTTTCCAAACAAAAAACTGTCGATAAGCAGAATAATATCAGTTACTAACTGCTCACAGACATTCAGTTTCTCTGTATCTTTCTTTTTTCAGTATGAGGGAGTGATTGTGGCCATCTGTGTCGTTTATGGAGCAAGAAACAGCTAACTCAGCCAGGGTCTCTCTCTCCGCCTCTCCTCAAGCTGTCAGTCCTCATACTGAACAGCCCTCATGGCTCTCCTTCGCCAAACCAGCTGTGGAGCTGGCGTTCTACCTCACCGAGATCTGAGTCAGACACAGATGTCCCTGGAAAGAGATCCGGAGATGAGCGGAAAAAAACTGCAACACCAAACAGAGTTTATTTAAAAAAGCTGATTTCTGACCCTGATTTTCACGGGGTAAACTTATTTTCCAAAACGATTCCTCCCACAATCAAAACTTTTGTTTTTAGAGAAAGTCTTTCAGCTCATCAATCTGAATGTCCTAAATTTTAACTTTCCAGTCCTCTGAATTTTGGACGTTTTTATAAGATAATGAGACAGCCTTCTTTGCAGAGTCCTCAAACCTGGTGGTTGACGAGGCTAATCAATCAAAAAGTCAGAAACAAATTCAAGGACTGATTTAGTTTCTGATTTTCATGGACAGGATTGCAAGGTACAGTTTGTGGGCCTCAAAGTTTCATCTCTTTGCAGATGATGTGATTCTGTTGGCTTCTTCAGTTTAAGACCTCCAGCAGGCCATGGAAATGAAGCTGCAGGGGTTGCGCCCTACCCTGGTGGCCGTATTTCGTTAATTTAGAGACTCTGACCCAAACACTCAACTTTCTCAGTTCAAGTGTTCGCTCCACTGAGAAAGTTTCCGCACTCTACCATCAGAGAGCCTGTTTGCAGCTGACAGTGATTCCATGTAGCAATTTTTCTGTCCGTCTAAGCCCACTCTTTCCATGAACTCACGCTTCACAGATCATTATTACTCGCTAAACTTTGATCCCAGATGAAGTGTAAGTGATATTTTTCACACAGTCATTTGTCTAATTGAGTGAGAGAGCTGTGTGTAGAGAGCTGAGGGGGTCTTTGTGGTCTTTGGATCCGTCACTGTAGCCGAAACGCCGCTGCTGCTGTCTCTGTGAAATGTCAACATTAGTACAACACAGACTGTCTGCCTCTCTGCGCCACAATGAGACGGCGAATCAAAGACATGACAAAGCCTTTCAAGCCGGGACACTTGGGAAAGCTGGGCTTGGCTCGGCTCTAAAACACGAGGCTGTTTCTTTGTAGAAAATTTGAAGCTCTGGTCCAAATTCTGTGCGCAGCATCACAGTCTGCATGTCGTGGGATAATGCAGCCAGTTTCTGAAGTCTGAAATGTGTTTTATGTTCGGATGAGAGGCATGGACAGACATTAAAGATCACTGTCAGGCTTGGATATGTGCAACAACTGTTGATCTGTATTCATACTCACATATCCGGTATGAGGATCTGATCCTGCTCTTCTTTAGGGCTTGTTGGTGATCACATGCAGCAGCTGCATCTGATGATTCCTCCAAGAGTTTGGAGACTTGAGGAAAAAGATCAAACTGTAGATGTTGCAGCACATGTTCCACATTAGGATTATGTTTTTCATGTGTAAACTTCATTTAAATGCAAAGTAGAACCTTCCCACACCCGTCATTTTAAATTAGCATCTCTCCAGAGCCTCTTATGTTTAGAGCTTTTTAATACCAAAATAAATTGTTAGGGTGATTTTCTTTTGCCAGTCATGTCCGCCTTTAGGGTGGTGGAGCTGTGTCAGTCAAATACCTCAGATACTTTGGTGCTAGATTCCTAGAGCCATGGGTCTCCGACAACTATCTTCAACAAGGACCTTGTACCCATGTTTATCATCACTCAGGCTCCCAAAATATGTTGTGCTTTGTTATTACCCTACATGGACTCTCCTTCAGGTCAACAAGATGCAAACAGAATGTTTGGAAACATGGACGACTATATAAATACTTGGACAGTCTCAGACTAGTCTTTGTTACACTTGTGACATGATGAAGCTGTAACCCGGATCTGAAATCAGTAAAGCTTGTCAAAATGTTCTTTGTGTGGATCTTCTATTCTTTAAAGTGTGAAGAAGACACAAAAAAGAGGGACAATTTGTTCAAAAATTGAGAGAATTAAACTCAAGAAGACTGTCTTCACACTGTAGATGAAGTAGAAATTAAAGCTGGATAAATCTTAGACTCATTTATGTTATCATTGAGATTTCCCGATGACAAAAGATGAACAATA